CGACGAATTAAAAGCAAACGACAAATGAAATGAAGGCGACCGTTTGACGGTGTCAACCGGTGACATATATGTTCACCCGTCCACTTCACGGATCATTTTTAAATGTGATGGTTTCAGCATCATCTGTAGAGTCTTTGCCGAAGAATGGCTTATAGTTGCAGAATAATGTGGGACGTCTGGCTCTAAATCTATGATAATGCACCTGCATCTTTTAGAGCAACATATACCCTTGGTGTGGCAGACACTTAAAGCCATGGCTTATCATCCCTTCTTCACTTCTTTGAGTCATGCCACATAGGGAGTATCCACAATGTTTTTCGACACGTCCATGTCGTAAATAGGATCGCACACTTTCATATGGCTTCACAATTATATGCCTTAACCCTCACCCTGCTAAGGGAGAGAGCGATGCACCCTTACGCGCCTCCCTAAGTTTCTGAGGATATCTCTCTGGAACGCGCATTCGTGCCGAATGTTTTGGTATCCGATGGCTATTCATTGTGTGTGCTTTGATACCAAACGCGTTTCTCTACGAATCTGACTTCTGAAAAGCGAAGTTTTCCTCGGCATACTGCATAGTGACCCACGGCCGGCGCGAGCGATGGTCAGCAACCGAAGAATTTGCCGATAGCGCACGGCGACCAACACTGTTACCTCAACAGAACTATGCATGAAAAGTGTATGTTCAAAACTTATCCATTGAATATATATATATATATATATATATATATATATATATTATATATATATATATATATATATATATATGATGGCACCCGATAATACACAAGAAACACGTTTGTGCAAGTCGCATGCTGTTAAGCTGCATTGTTACGTAAACATGCATATGCAAAGCTGAAGAACGTCGTTTTCAGGAAATCTTGACATTTGATCTGTCCTAGGCACGGGTGTCCATTTGTATTCTTTTGTGATGGCCCTGCCCCCTCCCCCTCCAATGTTGAGTTGCCCCCCCCCCCCAATGCTTTTGGTTGGAATGCTACAAAAGACGTGGACAAAAGATGATCATAACTCAAAGACCATCTTCTTTGATTTGCGTGCGTAGTGACGTCTCGTACCACTCTCATAATAAGCAGTGATGGTTGCCCTCACCGCCAGATACAAATCATAACAGTAATCAAATCATAATCATAACAGAGCGAATAAACCATAAATAAACTTCACACACCTAGCGTCATGAGACACGCGATGGCTTTGTGAGGTTAAAGTGAAAAGCTCTGGAATATGGGAATGGCGTAAGTCCTTCATGTCTAAACCCGTCCCCGTCCCACAGCCAAAATGCGTGCCGCCTGCCATGACCGCCATAGAAGAGTACCATCGGCGCCCTAAGGTGGCCTCTAAAGGAGCGCCTTCACGTGCCGATCAGAAGAGACGCGTGCGTCCAGTGTTTGCTCCCTGGATCCAACACTGCGTGACTTCTATGCTGGTTAAATCAAAGGCTTTTATAAATGATACAAAGATTTAAAACATATATTCCGCTTAATCAAAATGAAATGGGCTAAATCCAGTGAGAAAACATGGGGAAGGGGGGGGGGGGTAGATTGTCAGGCCTTCGGTTCGGCCCCCCCCCCCCCCCCCCCGACAATAACTTACAGAAACTGATACCCCTGGTCCTATTGGGGTAAAATATGAACCTAGAGACATCACATTGGCTACCAATCGCGAGATCTCATTGGGGTCAATTACGCTGGATTTTCCGCGCGACTGTTTCTTTCGTAGTTTGAAAAAGACAGGGGTTACATCGACCGCTCCCCACCTTCATAAAAAGCAAATTTGGGGCTGAGGTGAAAAGAAGCAATAAGATGGAATGTCCGAATACTCTCCTGACGTAGAAATGTCGTTGCATACAAATTATCGGCAAGCTCATAAAAACTGGTCGTACAGTAAATTGTAAGAAGCAGAATGGTCAGGTAGCCCTTTTCAGCTGGGAGGGCTGGTTCCAGGCTTATTACATTGAGCAGACACATTGTCCAATCAAATACGGTCAAGAGCCAACTAGTCAATCGCACCACCCAACCACCAATGCCAGGGACGGATAAAAATTCCCCTCATGCTGAAAGTCCTTACAGATGGTTAGCAGCTGGAATATTAGCCTGCAAGCAGCGAAACAACTGAGTCGAGTTGTCCATGCCGAGCTTCTGCCGCTAAATCTGTCGATAAGTTAAATTGAGACGAGTCGTCCGTGTCGAGCTTCTGACACTAAAGCTGTCGATAAGTTCAATTGAGACGAGTCGTCCGTGCCGAGCTTCTGACACTAAAGCTGTCGATCAGTTCAAACGTGGCCCTCTGGGCCTAAATTCCTTGGACACCAAGCAGCTCAAAGAAACTGCATGTGATCAGTTGCGCGCAACCACCAGAAACTTTTACCAAGATTATAGTGGACAGCGGTTGGCGGTGTGCTCGGTGCTACCGGCCCACCTGGCCAGCCGGCCCACCCAGCCAGCCGGCCCGCTGACCGGCACCTCCGCGCCCCTGAAGGGATGCGAAATCCTCACTCCCCACTGCCGAGATCCCTGCGGGCGACCGGTCAGCGGTCGTCTGCTGACACCCGTAATTACCGGGGACCTGTAAACGCGACTAATGACCCATCAACTAGTGAAAACTAAGTGGAGGGCTCACTCCATGCCTTTACACTAGTATAATATATATAGAGCATACACTTTTGACAGGGAACACACCAATTGCCTCAAGTGACATGATAATGATTCCGTCAATGTTGACATAAGCTAAGCTCTCCCACGGGCAGCCCACGGGGATGAGAGCAATGCCAGCTGTCCCACTTCTTCGTGCATGGCAGGGTAAAACCGAACCAGGAAGCACACGGCACGGCAATTATTACATACGTGGTCAAGGTAATAGTATATTGGCACCCAATCTGGGTCCCAGATAGGGGCCCAGGCAAGGCCTGCCTGCATCACATGCTGGCATGTGGCCAGCCCGCCCACCTGCGACCCGTTTAGATCTGAGTCTATGCCGCTCATCCTTGTGCCAAACTGGTTTGCACAATCAGTTTCCAACCATGGAGAGAAAAGTACAAAAATCAATGGACTAGTGTAAAAACTGTCAGCATATGGGCAGCCCATCTTGGCCCGAATGGAGCCCAAAGACCAGCACACCCGCGGCCCATGTTGACATGAGCCCAACTTGCCCACATGCATCCCATATGAACCCCAACCCGTGCTACTCTCTTTTGTTATGTACTCATTTGTACATGATAGGGAAAAATCCAACGAGGGAGCACAAAGTAGCAAACCTAATGCACCTGTGCCAGATGTGGCAGCGTACGGGCAACCCATCTGGGTCCCAGACGGAGCCCAAATGCCAGCGCACATGCAACCTACAGGGGTGTGAGCCTAGCTAACCCATGCTCAGCCCATGCGGACCTCAGTCCAGCCAGCTGTCCTATCTTGTAAGATAGTTGTACGCGATATCGTAAAAGCCCAAAACAATGAAAATAATCGATACCCACGTAATTGTGTACGTGGCAACCTTATTGCGTATATAGCATATGAACAGCCCATGTGGGTCCAATATGGAGCCCAAAAACTAGTCCACCTGCGGCCCACATTAGCATGAACCCAACCTACCCACAAACATCCCAGATGAGTCCCAACTCGTGCCGCTCTCCTTTCTTATGTACTCATTGGTACTTGGTAAGAAAAATCTAACGCGCGAGTACAAAGTAACAAGCCTAATGCGCCTATGTCAAATATGGCAGCGTATGGGCAGCCCATCGGTCCCAGATAGAACCCAAATGCCAGCACACCTGCAACCTACATGGACTTGAGCGCAGTAGCCCGTGCTCAGCACACATGAACCCATTCCTGGCAGCAGTCCCATGTTTTAGAATAATTATACACGGTAGGATAAAACCAAGGCGATGGAAACAACTGGTGTACACATCAATATTGTGTATATGGCAGCTTTACTGCGCTGTAACATATGGGCAGCCCATCTGGGCCCCAGATCAAGCCTAGATACCAGCCCACCCGCAGCCCATGTTAACATGAGTCCAGCTTGCCCACATATAGCCCACATAGGATCCCATCAAAGCACGCACTCTTTTGCTGCGAGTTATTTCTTTTTGAAGTGATGAATCCCGGCGTGACAGTACGAGGCACCAACATTTCTGGTGCATGCGAAAATATGAAATGATGGGGGCACCCATTCGGGACCCAGCGGGAGTTCAGTTAAAAGCCCATGTGTAGACCATGTGCACATTAACCCAGTTGCCCCACGTTTAGCCCGTGTAGAATGGGAATGGACATTTGGGAATGCTGGCTAGATGATTTATTTCATGCAGTCGCCAAACGCATGATTTCTTGTTTGTGGACTATACAATTTAGGCAGGTAATTTAGAGCTGGTGGCTTCTGGCTTCTGTTCCAGCTATGGAAGGTAAAAATAAAAATATAGAGAACATGCGCTCATCATCAAATGGATAATATCCAGCGATTTTATTTGGGGGGAGGGCTTTTTCTATCAGAGGTCCTTCATTCAACTCTATATCCCCCACCAAGGCTCTGGCTGCAGTGCCTGGACTCAACCCCCGCGACCCCGACAATACACACAAACGACGCCTTTGCCACTGCCCTCCTTTTACGCCGCCCTGACTCAATGCCTCTATGAAGTGATCGCCCCATTGTTCCCTTACTCTCCGTCTTACGGCGGGGTCTGTTGCTAGCTCTGGCTCCGCTGAATGAGCCCATTTGAAGTGAACCGCGTGGGGAGTACAGGGTGAACTTTTTTGACATTATTTCGTTTATTTTAGGGACCAATTTAAAGCAGCTGCGGTTCGACCAGTTAAGAATGCCCAAACTGTAAAAGTTATACATTAAAGTAGTAATTTATCTCCATTTTTGCAGTTTTACTGCCTTTCATATGAGTGGCAGAGCACGAAGTGTGCAAATAGAAGACAAAGAATCTGAAAATAATAAAATGTAGTTTGACGAAGTTTTCGTCTGATCACGCACAATATTTTCCCGCTAGATGTCGGTTACTTTCTCTTCTGAGAAAATGGCGTTGTGTTGGAGTTTGGGTTCTGTGTCGATATATGAGAGGTAATGTGTGGTGGACATAGATGTAGATCGTAGGATGGAGGTTTTGTTATTCGTGCCACATATATGTTTTAACTTGAGGTGTCTGTCCATGCTATGTGGCCGCGGAAGATTGAGGTTATTGCCCTTGGCGAACTGCGTTGCACATGACTAACAGTAAACAACGTGGTTGGAGGGTCACCATAGTCTACATGTGAAATATGCGTTATCTAAGATGTTCTTGTGCTTTCACAGGGACTAAGACCATGAGACATTAAGCAAGTGATCGCCTTCCACTGAGTGCATCAGTGCACCAGCACCAGTGGCTGTGTGTTGCTGGGGCTTTGTGGAAAGGTGGTCCAGGCAGTCAGGACTGGAGGCATATGTGGAGGACTTGGTGATGAATGCTCAGTTTGTGGTGGATACAGCAAGTAGTAGTAGCAGTCTGGCCACAGGAGCCTTACATGTAAGTGCATTTGATTGGGACATTTGGCTGTGCAGTTGTGTCAAGATGTTTCCATAGGTGAAGTGCATGTGTGCTATGTGCATTGAGCTGGGCATTTGGCTGTGCAGTTGTGTCAAGATGTTTTATGGGTGAAGCAGCACATGTACTGTGTGTGTGTGCATTCCATGTGAGGCAAGTTAGCACATATAAGTATCAGAATTTAGCTTTGTTATGCTAGATTTTTCATGCAATGTGTTTATCGTCAAAGGCAGGTCATGGAAGAAGTAGTTTGAGCTAGGTATTTCATTTTATCTTTGAGTTACAGCATATAGATAAGTATATTCAAATTGTTGGCCCAGATATTATCATATTCCAGATCCAATCATACAGACTAGCCAGTCCAGCCTGAAAAAATACATCTATGATGGACATCTATGGAACATCTGTATTGAACCTCATGCTTCTTTGCTAAACTCAAAGCTAGCACAAGTTGCATTGATTTTACTGATCACCTCAGTATGCAGCTTTTTAGATACTTTTGTGAAAATTTCCCTCTCAGCATCATAATTCCTTGAAACATTGGCTCTGTATACACTGAAATTGGCAGCACTGTGTGCTACTGGAATTAAATGCACATAAGATTGGATGTTGCTGTTGTGCCAGGCATGTTTGGTATAACATGATGCTTTTTGCAGTTTTGCAGCCAGTTTGCAAACCATGATAAACATGCCAGTGTGATGTTCAGGGCAGATGGAATACTGCCACAATCTGGGAGGTGAACTGCACATTTTAGACAGGCTGTTAACATAGCATGTCACATGATTTGATTATCACATGATTCACCACTAGATGTGATGATTTTGTGGTTTTCCCAGATAGATACATCATGTAACATGTTCTGGTGCCTTCAAAAGCCAAATTAAGAAATGTCTCCCCTGAAGTTTGCTGGGAAGGTCCTAAATTTTTCCATAAGTTGTCCCAAATTAGAAGGTATGCCTCAAGGGGAACATTCTTGCTTGAGATCATTGTTGAAACTGCAGTTTTGCACCTAAGTAGATAAGTCCTGCTGGATGAGTTGTTCTGTAGAAAGCTGTCCTAGAACCCAGTGCATCTACAGATATACAGGTTTTAAGAAGTTCTGTATTTAAGTATGCTATGAGTTCTGTTTAAGAGGCATTTAATGACTATATGTTGCTTTCCTGGTCATATAGGAAAGTTATATAGGCAAACATGATCTAAAAACAACATGAACTGAAGCTCAATAAGAGTACCATAAAGCAATAGCATGCTATTAGGATGTTTATCATTTGTAATAAGAGTTATGCCAATTATAGTGAGGTTTATTTTGTAGCACATTTTGGAAAATGATCAGCTGTCTAGTGTTCTCAGAAATGATTCTCCTGCATATACTTGCATCTTACTCTACTCCTAGTGTATATTTTTGTATATCTGTATTGGTATCAGAAGCTGTCTATTAGTAGCAGGCTATGATTCAAGATAAAGCTTGATGATATCAGACTGCATATAGTAAAGATGAGAGCATAGACCTATGCTTTTACCTGTTGGTTCTGGTAGAAAGATACTTGACTTAATCTGGCAACACTGAGAACAATTCCAGACTTAGTGCAGTGTTTGACATGACTGAAATGGGAAGGCCAGCAGATGACTGGCCAAAAGAGAACCTAGTATCTTTGAGACACTTAGCCAAATGTTACCTGCATTTCTTTGTTTTATTTGATGCGGCACTCCCCAACTGGTTTTGAATGGTTCACTTTGTTTTGTTTGTTTGTTGTCACAGTGTTTTATTCTTTTACCACTGCCTTGCTAATGTGATAATGCTGATATATGTAATTTCTAAAATAGGCTGTAAGCTATATCAGTAGAAAGCTCTGCACAAATAGTTTTGGTATGATGAATGTGGACAGCAAGAAAGTATAGCCCAAAAACCTGATTACTCTCCAGACTTGGCCCCCATTATTTCCAAAGGTTGGATGGACATAGCATTTGAAAGAATTGAGCATCCCTGTCGCAGAAGCTTGACTGGTATTCAAATATACTAGGGGAAGTGCAATATTATGACAGAAGGAACAAGTAAATGCAGTGTTCTGGAACATTATAAAATTATCATAGAGCATGCACAAGTGGGCTAGTCGGCAAGCTGGCAAAGGTGTGTATGTCAGGAGCAATAATAACAAACAGTATGTAAAGACCTGACCAAAGGGCAAGCTGCTTCCATTTGCCAATTACTGGCATATGACTGCCAGCCTGGCCTTATTCTGTACTTTCTCAACCATGTGTGTACATGTAACCACTGTTATCCCTGCATGGAACACCCATGACCCCACATGTGTCATATGCTCCAGAACAGTGCCAGAAATCAATGTTATGCTGCAACAGTTCTGAGGTGGCTTATTTCTTATTGCACTTGGTAGGCCCAATAAGCAACACAGAGCATATTTTATTCTCTTCTTTCATCTGACCTCATAGCCTTTATCTGGCCACACAATAGTGTCTCATGATGATAAATAATAGCAGTTTTGTCATTTGCCATACTGCATAGCATGTCAGTGGTTGATTGAATGAACCACCTTAAGGTCGGACTTGTCTTATGTTAACAGCCAGGGGGAATGTAGTGCCTCATCCAGATGTGGTAAATCAGGGGCTAGCTGGGTCTTTGTTTGCCAACCCATTAAAGAGTCCCAAAAGAGACCCAAAGGCCCAGCCCATTTAGTATAAAATCCTTGTCAAGAGGAGTGCTGAGGCCCAGACAAACTCTGAGAGGCAAACAATGTGGCATGTCAATGATTTTTACTGCCTGGCTCATAGTCAGTTTCTATGCTCAGTTCTTTTGCCAGTGTTAGTACCTTAAATGAATTTCCCACCTTTGAAGATCTTGAAGCAAACATCAGATATGGTGGAAGGAGTTCACTTGTGACTTTTGGAACACTTTTAGGGAGAAAACACTGCTCCATACAACACCATTTCTCTTTTTAGTAAATATGCTTCCCATTTTGTCATTGTGTTATCATACCTTGCAAAACATTCATTGAGAGCCAATTCAAGGCTATTATGTCAGGATCACAAACTCCAGATGTGCAGAACTCAACAATGGTATTTGTAATGGTCTTGATCACCATAAGTTCAATAGAATGACAGGATTTCAATGACATCTTGACATGGATGCCTGGGTGACTTTGAAGTGGTTTCCTCAAAATAGTTACAAGTTTCATTGGCATGTAGCTCAGAAATCAGAAGGATTTAGGTTTTAAGAAGAGCGGGACTGTGAACTATGCCAAATCATGCAACACTCCCTTTTATCTGCACCTGGGTGGCTAGTTGAATGCCCCTTGCATGGCTGGGGGGGGGGGGGGGGGGGGAAGGCAGTTTAACCCCTGAGATCTCAAAAACTAAAGTAGGTAGAGACACAAGATTCACATCATGGGTTGGCCTGTGACCCACTGGTCAAAATTTGGAGGTGCTGAATCATGACCTCAGAACCAAATAAGGTCAAACAAGGTCAAACTCAAGATATGTGTCCAGTGTCCCTAGACCTTCTCTTCCAACTGCCATGAACCTATATACCTGTTCTAAGCAGAATGCTCATGGTGTCTTTTTAAGGCCAGTGACCTTGTTTGACTTTTATATGGTCAAGATGGTCTTAAACTTACAAGATTTCTGGTATGTTGTGATAGGAGCAATTGACATATTGGTTCAGTGACCTACTCTGACCTTCAAAGCAGCCATGGAACATATCTGTTAAAGTCCCTGTCATTAATAAATTTGAAAGGAGCACCATAAGCTTACCTGTAAGGCAAGCTCTTAAGTTCAGAAAGTTAGCTGCTTTTGTTCCAGGTCTTACCTTTGAAGTTAATCCTAGGTCAGTGAAATTTATTGTAGCTTGGAACTGTATGGTGCATTGCCTAAGAAACTGCCAGAGCTGTGTGGCTTCATGCAACACTGTTGTTGCATCAAATTGAACAATGGCCTGGAAATAGCCTTTGCCAGCAGCCATGCTCTGATTTTGATGTACCATGCGTGAGCAACCTAACAAGGTGCGGCTGATTTTTTGCATAACAAATCTACTATTCAATTGCCCAAAGCTTTGCAAAGTGTGGCATGGCTACACTGTTACCTCCCTTACCCAAATATGTGTTATCCATTCATAAAGTAGATAGGAGTGCCATTCAGTAACTTAAAATGTTCTGAGATGGGCAACTCTAACAAGTGCTAGCAGTAGTGGGAGATATGAAATGATGGATGTTTGAAATAATGTTGGAATGTGAAGCTTAGATTTTATGTAGCTTTCCCAACACTGAATTGCAAGCCATCCAACTTCTTTTAATAAGCACACAGTCAATCTGTCCAACTTGTGTGCTATTGTTTGCTCTGTTTTCCTCAGATGGTTTATAACTTTTGTACTACATTGTTTGTGTTGACTTATATTTATAAATTTATTTGTTGTGACAGCTATCTCAAGTTGGGTGATCTTCAACTGCTAGTATCTTTAAGCTTTACAAATTTCATCCTTTCAGTAGGGTGCTTGCATCTCTGGTGGGGTTAAGGCACCCCCTGCCATTTGGTCCAAAATACAGTTAGAGGCACATATTTATTCCTTGACATTTGTCAGGAATTCTCCAGTTCAGGTCGATGAGGGTGCTTGGGAATGAATTCCTAAAAAACAACATTCTGGAGCACAGAACAACTTTTGCAGGTAGCCTGACAACAGCAATGTGCTAAACCAGGAATTTGCAGTGCAAGAGATGGTGTAATTTCAGGCATGTTTATTGTTTTGTTCAGGCATGTTTATTTAGGTGGTGGTGATCAACCTTATTTGGCCTAAAATGTGCTTCTGGTGGTTGATGATAAACAAATGTAGAACGCGTACCAGAAGCGCATGGTGTGCTTGCAGAGTGCCATTCTCATGCTGCCTGTGCCCAGAGATGACATTCTTTGCCATTGAATGCTGAAGAGAACATTATATATTATAATGACTGCAAGCCTTCAAGGAGCACATTGTAGCCCATTGACTGGAGGATACCAGCAGGATATTTTTGTGTAACAGTGCAGTGGAAGTGTTACCCCAAAATGTACTTTGCAGCCATGCTTTTGGACCTTAGATTTTTCAGTGGTCTTGAAAACCATCAGGGCAATAGAATGCATGCCTTGCGCAAGGTAATGTAGAAACAAAAATGGGATCAACTCAATTGATGACTGATAGCCTTGATCATTATCACTGGAAAACACTGTTGCTCCCTGTCGCATGAGTGATGCCACAAATATCATAACACAATACCTTACAAGTCGTCAGAATGGACTGTCGACTTTGGAACCTCTTATCATCGGTAACAAGGTACATGTAGCTCTGAAACGCATCAAACGGAGGGTTGTGTCTGCCGCGTCTGAACGGTGCCGCAATGCCAGCAAGGTTTGCTAACTGGTCAGCAGTCTGCCGGAGGGACGTCAGTCAGGTCCCTCTCCCAGTAAAGGCAGTCATGGCACGCATGCGCCGCTCCTCCCCGCGAGGATAACGCGTTTTGGCTCACGTTTTGACGTAGCATTGAGACGGCTGATTGCCCCCTAAAAGTTAGTGAAATGGATCGACACCGGTCAGCAAGTGAAGTATCGTCACCCACTTTCGCGCGTTGGGCGCGGTTGTAGAGTGTTGATTGAGTTCGCTCACTGTGTAGCTATTTAGGGGCTAGCACAGAGCAGCCAGCTAGCGGTGGCCTCGGTTCCCCCAAAAAGCTGCAGCTTATGGACTGAGCAGGACCTCCGGGTGGCTGTCGGGTCTTGCTGTCATGTGGAGCGTCGTTGAGTTATCTCGGTGACATGGCTGGGTCACTCTGCCGTTGTGGCGTTTTCGGAGATGTCAGTGCTGTTTCCTGATTTGCTGGAGTCAGTGATGTCATTGTGGAGACGGCCAGTTGTGTGCGCTCGTGGAAGAGTTATGTGGAATTTGTAAAGTAAATATTTGGGATAAATCACTCATCAAACTTGTCGTGATTTTAATTTTATTTGTTGGGCTCAGTCGGCAGTCAAGGCGAGATGCCATAGCATTCCAGACCCAGTCGGTGATTTCGGCAACCAGCCTTGGAAATTTGCTTAACATGCTTTATGTGGTGTCGGGCTCAGGTTGCATGAACAAAGCCTGTTGCTTGTAACCTAGATTCGATTCTCAATTATCCGCATTCCCGTCCGGCGGATGGTTCTGTCTCCGGTCGTTTTGCCAGGCATGGTCGCGAAGGAATATCCCGATCTCCCGTGCAGCACAGTGTTTGCCACGGCAGTCTTGGGCCAGGCCGCTCCTTGGGGGCCAGTGGCGAGCTGACAGCTGCGTGTGATGGGACTAAAAGGCCGGTCTTTGTGGGACCCGAGCCCAGGGCAAATGAACAACAAGGCCGCCATCCTATGGCTCCGGCCGCTGGACCGGCAACGTCAACGCCGGAGCGTCGTGCACGCCTGACCCACGTGACCTTGTGAACGTGACGCGGTGTCATCGCGCGCCGGCCGTTTGTGTGGGCGGCGGGGCGCTTTGGACGGCACGTAGCCGTGGCCGCGCCTGGCCGCCCCGGTGCCGTGGGCAGGCCGGCGCGCGCGCGCGCGCCCCCGCCAGCGCTATGGCCGTGTAAATGCACTTGGCCACACGGCGCCGGTGAGTCACCGTCTCCAAAGACGGGCGGGACGCCTGCCGTACCGGACCGCATGAGGTGCGGCCCAGCCCGCTGAAGGGCGGGGCCGCCTGATCCGCATGGAGCCGGCCGCCGGCTCCTCCGAGAGGGCTGTGCTCCGCGGCTCGGGCCGGCTGCCGTCTGCACTGTGTCGGCCTGGTGTGTGAATGGTGTGTCATTGTTCGGCGGGTTGCGAGTCGAGGCGGTTGGCGCGACCTGGTGTGACCTGATGTGAGCTGATGTGAGCTGATGTGACCTGACCTGACCTGGCCTGACGTGACCTGTGGCGTCGCGCCACGTCCGGTCGCCGAGCTGTCACCTGACGCCGGGCGCCGGGCGCTGCTGTGTCGACAGGTGAGCAGCAAGCGGCGGAAGCTGGAGCCGTGCCCGCAGGAGTACAGAGCCGACACGTACGGGCCCGGCCATGGCACCAGTCCCAGTCACAGCCAGCAGGCGCGCGTGGTGCGCCAGGCCGCACGTCTAGATACCTACCAGCGGTGCGGCGTTAAGGTGCGGCACCCATTCCTCCCCCATCGGCGGGGGCGCGACACGGGCTGGCGTCCGCCCTGAGGTTGACTAGTTGCCGCCTTTTTGAGCGGTGGTTTTGTTTTTGCCGCCGCTGCATCGCGACAGCGGAATGTTTTCAGTGGCGGATTTGGTTAGCAACTGCGCCAGGCCTGGTGTTATGTGTTGGTCTGTTGGAGACACGGGGCGGGACCGACGTTGGACGACGTTATATTATTTACGGTTTGGGTTCTAGCCGGTCCGTCCTGCTGCCGCCAGGACCCACGAGAGACCCTGCTTGCTTATTGCTTGTGTGCTTATTGCCGATGTTGTTGTAGTGGAAACGTCCTCGGCATTTCAGACGAATAGCACCGTCCGCGCTTGTGATTTCAGACCGAAGACTCACAAATTTTCCGGACTTCTCAGAAAGGCCATTTTTGCGTCAACGATTTTAAGTTTCTCACGTGCGTCAGCCTTAATTTTCTGGGGCTTTCATATTAATCCACTCGCTGAGGGTGGCCTACTTGGACTTATCACACTGTAAGGCGCTAGATATATTCCTACCTAAAACCATACCAGCTGTCATCTAGGTCTTGTCGCAATCGCTATTCCTTGTCGTCTGCTGTGTGACGTTTATGTAGGATAGTCACATGACGCAACATTGGTGGCGGCCTGTGGCGCGTCTCGTCTGCGCCGGCACTTGCGTCAGCTGAGCGGTGCCTACCCTGCTCTGGGGGTCGCCGATGGCGCGTCTTGTGTGGCCGCTGACCAGCGCCAACCCGTCCTGCAGCGAAAGTCGACTGCGAGCCGAGAGTGTTATGCCGGCGACGAGTCGTCGGCCCAAATCAGCACGACGACGTCCCACAGCAAGCCGGCGGCCGCGGCCGGCTCCTCCACCGATGGCGACTACCAGCTGGTGCAGCACGAGGTGCTCTGCTCCCTCACAAACCAGGTGAGCTGCCGACGGGCGTGCGGCCGGCGCACACGGGCCCACGCGGCCGGCGCTGTGTCGGATTGTAGCGCAATGTCGCCGCCAGCCGGCAAGGGTGGCGGACGACACGCAGAGACTCACTAAAGCCTCAGCAATGGGGAGGGGCTCCCGAACAAGGCGATATCTTGTTTGAGTTCGCGTGAGGGTGCATGCAAACGTAAGCCAGATGCCCTGACAGCTCCGCGGAGATGAAACCAGTCTTCTATTTTTAAGTACGCCAGCGATCAGAGATGCACGCCTCCCTAAATACGATTTCACGGGCCAGTTACGCCGGCTCTGCAGTAAGTTTCCCGCATTTAAATGGCGACGCTGAGAAGGCGGTGGTGATTGGGCTGGGGAGACAATGTTTGATGCTTGTCTGCAGCTCCGCGGTTACATTTGTGAAGGTGGGCGGCCAGTTGCGGTAATCTGATATGCTGAGCGTCATTGATGATCTCGAGCGGGTTGGTGACGGTGGTGATCTCGAGCGGGCTGGTGACGGTGGTGATCTCGGCGCCGCCCCACAGTATGAGGTCCTGGAGTTCCTGGGCCGCGGCACATTTGGTCAGGTGGTCAAGTGCTGGAAGAAAGGCACCAATGAGATCGTGGCGATGAAGATTCTCAAGAACCATCCCTCGTACGCTCGGCAGGGCCAGATCGAGGTGAGGCGGCGTGGGTCGGCGGTTGTGGAGAGGATGGAGGCTGTCCCCCGCCAGTCTGGTGCATGGTCACTTATCTCGAGCTGGTGCCGCCTTTGACAGATTGTTGACGTTTTACGTGCTGACGGGCGCCTGGAATATATAGTTACTGGCTCAGTAAGGATGCGCCGGAATCTCTGGGCTCAAAATCTGCCAAGGATGTCATGTCAACTGTTTCTGTGTTTTCCCTGCAGGTCTAAGATATACAATTGTACATGTTGATTGCCGTCTTCCATGGCCCGTGTCCCACTTTCTGTTTCTGTCTGTAACTTTTCGCTGCTTCGTCAGAAGCTATTGAACGCCATGACGGCATGGCTCCACATGAGGCGAGTAACTTGTGAGCGTTGTGCTTGAAGGTGCTCACGCGCCGCCGTCTCATCGCCGCAGGTGTCCATCCTGTCCCGTCTGAGCCACGAGAATGCCGACGAGTTCAACTTCGTGCGAGCGCACGAGTGCTTCCAGCACAAGAACCATACGTGCCTGGTGTTTGAGATGCTGGAGCAGAACCTGTATGACTTTCTCAAGCAAAACAAGTTCTCTCCACTGCCTCTCAAGTTCATCAGACCCATCCTGCAGCAAGTGTTGACGGCCCTTCTGAAACTCAAGGTAGTGACATGTTTCCTCATACTAGCCCTGTCGAAAGGGGAGCGTAGCGACAGACGTCTATTTCTTTGCGACCTTAAGTCAAGTGCATTGCAAGGGTACTACGGCATTATGCGCTGACTGGTGGAGGCTCCGGTTGACAGGCTAGTCATGGCAATCCAGTGCACTGTTGCGTCTCCGCGTTTTTTTTCCAACGTGTCTCCCGTTGTGTCGATGGCCAGGCGGTGCTGCTGCCGTGAGCCGGGCCGTTTCTGGTCCGAATTGGCGATGCCTGGGGCCGATAGCATCCCTCAGCCATCACCGCGTGCCGATGCGGGATTGGCCATCACACCGCGCCGACCGGGCAGGACGGGACTGCGCTCTGCCGGCGATCGGCGGCCGAGGGCGGTGTCCGCCCCGTCCCGCTCCGTCCCGCCCCGCTCCGTCGGCACTCGGCGGCGGAGGGCGGTGTCCGCTGCTGACCGTGTCCGCCCCACCCCGCCCCGCTCCGTCGGCACTCGGCGGCGGAGGGCGGTGTCCGCTGCTGACCGTGTCCGCCCCACCCCGCCCCGCTCCGTCGGCACTCGGCGGCGGAGGGCGGTGTCCGCTGCTGACCGTGTCCGCCCCACCCCGGCAGCAACTGGGCCTCATCCACGCCGATCTCAAGCCAGAGAACATCATGCTGGTGGACCCGAACCGGCAGCCGTACCGGGTGAAGGTGATCGACTTCGGCTCAGCCTCGCACGCCAGCAAGGCCGTCTGCAACACATACCTGCAGAGTCGCTACTACCGCGCACCGGAGATCATACTGGGTGAGTCCGGGCGCCACCGAGGCGGGACAGCGCCAGCAGCGGGGGTGCTGCTCCCGTCCGGGGCCGGTGGGAGCTGGCGCGACAGCGGCGCAGGGGCATCGTCGGCGAGGCGGAGCCTCTCTCACACAAGATGCCATCATTGCACGTGGCCGAGCGGTTAAATGGTTCGAACTTGCAGGGAGGTCTCGAACGCCATTTGCTGAAGAGCTAAAAGACGATTCTGATGCTTTAGAGCCCCTCCCTCAGCATCCGAACTACCGGAATGCTCCCACTTTTTCACTTTGTGTTCGGCCCTAATAATCTGATGTTAAAGGCTGCCATGATCATGACGAATGGAGCCTGCTCACTTACTGCAGTGTACCCTCAAAATATGTGTGATTATTACGGGGTAGATTGTTTCTTGGCTCACCCGATGATGCATTAGTTAATGCCATGAGGTGGTGAATGATGCTGACAAGATAATACACCCCTGCGGAGATGTAGTGTTCCGGCGCGAGCGCGGCCCTGTTTAGGATTTCAGACTTATCGCGTGCGCCATTTTATTGCGCGAAATGTTGAAATGTATATGATCACGCATTGTGTAGGCCAAGCACAATGATTTGGATGGAGTTGCTCGATTTGCTTCGTTCATTATTTTCGAATTATAAAAATGGACCCAGATGCCCTGTCGTGCCGATTGGACGCGCCGGCCGGCGGGGGCGCGGCCGCTGCCAGCGCACGTTACGGCAGTGCCGGGCCGTCTATCCGCCCTCGCCGCTGCGTGTTGCCGCCGCCGGACGTGGCGTGTGAGCGTCGGCCCGCCGCTTTCCGCAGGCCTGCCGTTCTGCGAGGCCATCGACATGTGGTCGCTGGGCTGCGTGATCGCCGAGCTGTTCCTGGGCTGGCCGCTGTACCCGGGCAGCTCCGAGTACGACCAGATCCGCTACATCCGCCAGACGCAGGGCCAGCCGCCCGAGCACATGCTCAACAACGCCACCAAGACCACGCGCTTCTTCTACCGGGACGTGGAGCAGAACTACCCGTGCTGGCGGCTCAAGGTGCGTGCCCTCAGTGCTCACACGTTCGTGCGCTCTGAGAGACAGACGTCGCGCTAACACGCCACACCGCGCGGCTCCCGCCGGAGCACCCTGCCGGAGCGCCCTGCCGCGCTGGAGTCGCTGTGGCGGCACTCTGGCCAGGCGGTGACGTCCCACGTCCTCGCCGCCCGCAGACGCCGGAGGAGCACGAGTCCGAGACGGGCATCAAGTCGAAGGAGGCGCGCAAGTACATTTTCAACTGCCTGGACGACATGGCGCAAGTGAACGTGCCGCAGGACCTTGAGAGTGGCGAGCTGCTGGCTGAGAAGACGGACCGCCGCGAGTTCATCGACCTCATCAAGCGCATGCTTACCATGGATCAGGTGTGTGGGCGAGGCGGGCGGCCGCCGAGCCTGCGGGGACGCTCCGCTGTCCTGTGCCACGGTCCGGGGATGCATGAGAAGGAGGGGGCGGGGCGGCAGCCGCTGGCTGGGGCGCTTAAGCTCGGGGATGGAGTCCCAATCGCAGCGGACTCCAGATTTAGCGTCGACTGTATTGGGGCTTCCCCCAACACCGCGGGTACCAGGGACTATGACGTAACATACGTGTTTAGGTCACGGCATGACCGTCCAATAGACCCGTGTCTTGCCCTTTGTCAACCATTAAAGAGATAGTTTCGTCCATCAAATCTAGACTGTCCCGCTTGACATGTAGCTTGGGGTCCGAGCGAGGCGGGAAGGGGTGCTGGCCGGTGTCGGCGGCACGTGACACGCCTGCGCGCTACACCACCTGTGCTGGCGAGGGGCACACCGTGACGTGTGTCGGTAGGAGCGATCATTGCCGTCAGCCGTGCCGTGCCGTGCCGTGCCGTGCCGTGACGTGACGTGACGCCTCGTGTCGGCAGGAGCGGCGGGTGATGCCGTCGGACGCGCTGAACCATTCGTTCGTAACGCTATCACACCTGGTGGACTACTCTCACTGCGCCAACGTGAAGGCGTCGGTGCAGATGATGGAGGTGTGCCGCCGCCACGTGCTGACGCCTCAGCCGGCAGCGGCCGCGGCCGCGCCGCCCGCCGCCGCCGCCCAGCTCGTCAACTTGGTGCCCACCAGCGTCGGCAACGTGGCCATCACGTTCAACAACCAGCTGCCAAACCAGGTAGGCGGGAGCGGCGCCGTCAAGTGCGCGTGCGCGGACCATGGCAGCGGCGAGACCCCCTGCGCGGGGTCTGGGGTCTCGGCCCGGACGCTCCTCAGGCCTTCACGTGCCTGAGGCGATCGTCGGATGATATGGGGGATGTCGAAGAAGCGTGGATGGCTTGGCCGCGCTCGTGCGCGTCTGTAGTCCCAGTCTTGTTGGTCTTGTTTGCGAATAGTTCGTTGTGAGGGTGTGAGGCGCTGTGGTCGTTGCTGTTGAGCAATTCAACATCGGCTGGCCGGCTGGCTCAGCCCAGGCCTGCCCGGGGACAGGTACGCACAATGTGGTCTGGCAAAAAGGCCGGCGACAAACTTATTCGTTGAACTGGAATGCTACTGCCTGATCATGCTTCGGTGGAACCCTGAACCCGCTCTGACTGATCTCGTTGAGTATTTTCACTGTTCTGCTGGACAGTGCTGTGCCTTTGGCGCGTGCCAGGCGGCAGTTTTCAGTGAAGCCGACGCACAGCGTCTGAGCCATCCGTTAACCGCGTGACCTGCGGTAACCGGCGCTTGTGGCCGTGTTGCAGTACCAGTTCTACCAGCCGCGCAGTCAGCGTCAGTACAGCTCTTCGCGCGCCGCCGCCACGTACCAGCACCAGCTGGTGCCGTCGCTGCTGTGTCCGCCGCACCCGCAGACGTACCAGGTGAGGCCGCGGCCGTTGCCGGTGGTGCCAGCCGGAGCAGCCACGCCCGACCTTCCCACGCACGGCCGGCCAGCAGGGGTGTGGCGCGTATTTGTAGCGCTCAGCCGACGTACTGGTTACCATGCACCCCGTTACCCCTGATATTGTTCTTGACAAATATTTCCGCATGATTCGCAACAATCGGAGCGTAACGTTTGTCTGCCCACGCTCCCGGGCTAATTCCCCTGTTGCGCGTTGGTTACGCTCCATCTCGCCTCCATGTGTAACGTAGCTGATGGGGAGAGCCGCCCACTGGCGGTCGGGGCGGCCGGCACCGGGGAGCGGCGCCGCGACGGCCGCGGACGGCCGCGCTGGGCACGAACTCAGACGGGCGCCGGCGTGACGGGCCGTCACGGGCGGCACAGTCGTGACGTCGGCCAGTATCGCACGACCCCTGTACATCGTCACCGTGGAGCTCCCGCCCCCCCCCCGGCTCTGTCACGGTGTGGCGGCAGTGTAGCGCAGGGTAGCTAGTACTAGTGGCCCCGGGCGTCCCCTGTCCGTCCGTCCCTCCGTCCGCTGTCCCCGCGCGCACCCGTGTCTGACGCCCGGCCGTGTCCCCCGTAGGTGCCTCAGCAGCAGTACGTGCCCGTGTCGATGGTAGAGCAGTCGGGAAGGCAGATGCTGTTCGCGGTGAGTACTGTCCAGTCCACCGTCCTGCCGCCCGACACCTCGTAGAGTGCATGGGGACGTAGTCGTGTTTGTACCCTCGCCCCCTCGCCTGCTCAGCCCTGGAGCGACTGCCAGCGGTCGGGCCCCGGAGAGGCCGTGATTACGACGGTATAGTGCGGCCCTTGTAGCGGACTGGCAGTGCCAGACAGACGGGCTGAACATCCAGCTGTTGACTGCGGTTCTCCGTGATGGCTGTCGGTGCCACGGCGCCTTAGGAGCGGTCTGCAGCCGGCGGTTGTGAGCGCCCGGGGCGGTGCTGCTTCCGTCAGCGATGCCCGCGCTGTCCCTCCCCAGCCCCGTCTGACCGCCGACCGTTCCGTGTCCGCAGAACGGCGGCTCGTGGCCGACGGCCGGCAGCCGCCAGATGACGTTCGTGCCGTCGTGGCAGCAGCCGGCGGCGGCCGCCCTGCAGCCATCGGCCGCCCTGCTGCCCGAGGCGGCTGACTGGCGTCTGGCACAGCGGCCGCTGCTCGTCGAAAGCGCCTCCTTCTTGCAGGTACACGGACGGCCGGCACATCGGCGGCGCGGCGCCGGCTGACAGCAGCGGTGCTCGGGGTTGGGGCGGGGCTCCCGAGCATGGCGCCTTTGCAGTTGTCGGCGGGCCATTACGACGCACTCGGATGCTGAGGCTGTGCGGCGTCGCCTGTCTCACCATAGGGCGGGTATTGAGCCACGTAACAAAGCTCCGCGGCCAGGGGTACAGTGACGGCGGTTTAGTTGTCGACGCTGAACGCAATGCGGCGTTGGTGTGCTGTTTTGGAAGGCAGGCAAAGGGAGGCAAACTGTCTTAGCTCAACCAAACCAGCTTTTAGTGTAACAACGTGTTACCACTTGGCCTCAAGGCGAAAAGGCCGCGGGTGGGAGCGTGTGTTTACAAGTGGTCCCGTTACTGAACCTAAGCATACCGGTGCCTCTGCTCTGTACAGACGTGACATGTGTTCGGTTTACGGTCGGCTAGGGGGTGGGGGAGGAGGGGGCGGGGGAGGGGGCGGCCGGCCGGCCGGCCGGCCGGCTGGCGGGCCGGCTGGCGGAGGTATGGGGCGGCTGACGCGGTGTGCGCGGCTGGCGCCGGGCGGCGCGGCCGGGCCGGACCGTGTCGGCGCTGGCTTGTATCGGCTGCCGGTGTCCGGCAGGACCAGTCCGGCTCCATGTACCCGGAGATGCTGCTGCAGGCGGCCGAGATGGTGCCGCGGCCGCGCGCCGCGCCGGCGCCGGCTCCAGCGCCGGCGCCGGTGGCCGCCGCGGCCGCCGCGCACACGTACACCTCGCAGCGGCCGAGCAAGCGGAGCGGGCAGCCGCGGCCACCGCCGGCCGCGCCCCACTCCCTCTCCGTGGAGAAGAAGGACCCGGCTACGCACATCAGCCCCGTCAAGAAGAAGCCCAAAGAGGAGAGCAGTGGTGAGTCCCCGGTCCCGGCCCGGCGAGGAAGTCAGACCCGATCAGTTACCGGGGACCGGTCAGCTGAGGGGGGAGAGCAGTGGTACTGTGGTCAGCTGCGGGAGAGTGGCGATACCATAGTCAGGGTAGCGTCGGAATCTGTACGTTGCACCTGATCGTCAGCCTTCGAGAAGCAGGAAGGGCGCTGGTCAGTGGTTGTGTTTAAAGATGGTGGCGCGGTGCTACCCGCGTTATCTTCGTTGGTTTGAAGCTTGTTAGGGCCGCCCATTTCTGAGACACTGGCGCTGTGTGTGAGGTCGGCGAGACCTTGTCTTGTTTGTTGACCGTCAGCTGTGCGTGCTGGGCAGTGGTGTGTGTGTGGGGGGGGGGGAGGGGGTGCATGTGCGTGTGCGCGTGCGCGTGCGCGTGTGTGGACGCCGGAGTGTGCAGCTGGCCGAGGCTGAGCGGCCCCGCTTCGTGGACAGGTGAGCCATGTCGCCGCGGCGGCGAGCCCGGCGCCAGCGGCAGCAGCAGCGGCAGCAGCCGGCGGGCGGCGGCGGCGGCCGCGGCGGCGCGGCGCGGCCAGCCCACCATCACCATCCGGGACACGCCGTCGCCGGCCGTCTCCGTCATCACCATCTCGGACAGCGACGATGAGGCCGGCCGGACGCCAGCTGACAAACAGTGAGTAACACGACGAGCGGCCGCACGACACCCGTCCGTCTCTCTCTCTCTCTCTCGATCTCCAGTCCTCTCTCTCTCACTCTCAGAAAAGAGCAACAACAGAACTCTCCGGAGATATCTAGCTAGAGAGAGAAGGAGGGTAGAGGATCTAGAGCTATAGAGAAAGAGACGAGAGAGAGAGTCTAGAGAGAGAGAGAGAGAGAGAGGAGTATCTAAGGAGAAATGAGAGAGGAACGAGAGAGAGAGAGAGAGGGAAGGAGAGAGAAGAGATCTCTATCTTCTCCTCTCCTAGAAGAGGAGAGAGAGAGAGAGGGAGAGAGAGAGAGGCCCTCTCGAGAGAAGGCTCTCTCTCTCTTCTCTCTCTATCTCTCTCTCTCTCTTCTCTCTTCTCTTATCCCTTCTCTCTCTCTCTCTCTTCTTTCTCTCTTCTCTCTCTCTCTCTCTCTCTCCTCTCCTCCTCTATCTCTCTCTCTCTCTCTCCTCTCTCTCTTTCTCTCTCTTCTTCTCTTTCCTCTCTCTTCTCTTCTCTCTCTCTCTCTCTCTACTCTCTCTTCTCTCTCTCTCTTCTTCTCTCTCTCTCTCTCTCTCTCTTCTCCTCTTCCTCTCTCTCTTCTCTCTTCTCTCTCTCTCTCTTTCCTCTCTCTCTCTCTCTCTCTCTCTCTCTCCCCTCTCTCTCTCTCCCCCCTCTCTCTCCCTCTCTCTCTCTCCCTCTCTCTCTCTCTTCTCTCTCTCTCTCTCTTCTCTCTCTCTCTCTCTCTCTCTCTCTCTCTCTCTCTCCTCTCTCCTCCTCTCTCTTCTCTCTCTCTCTCTCTCTTCTCTTTCTTTTTTTCGTTCTCTCCCCTATCTCTCTTTCTCTCGCCCCCTCTCTGTGGGTCACGGCCAGCGGTCGGCGCGGGCCGAGCCGAGCCGAGCCGAGCCGAGCGCAAGCGCGAGCGGTTGCTGAGCGCCGTCTGTGTCTGCCTGTGTTGCAGCAGAAGCAGTGGCCACTCGAGTGTGCTCGTTCAGAGTAGCGCCTGTCCGTCCGTCACCGTCACGCCCAGCGACGACGCGTACCAGTACGTCCGCCGCCCGCCCGGCCCGTTGAGCGCCGGCGCGCTGACACTGACACGCTGACCCTGCTGACACGCGCGCCGGCCCCATTGCTTTCTGGCGCTGGCACACTGACACTGACACGCTGACCCTGCTGACACGCGCGCCGGCCCCACTGCTCCCTGGCGCCGGCTGCTCGGCTTGCTAGCACTAACTCGCCCCTCTCCCCTCTTGCACGGTCCCTGGCTTGGTGTCGCTAGTCTGCTCACGCGCACGCCCCCGTGGGCAGGCCGGCCACGTCGGCCGCGCCTGGCCTCGTCAACCGCCCGGAGCGGGTCGGTTTCCAACCGGCATCGGCCAGCGCCGTGCTACGTGGCGTTCTCCGAAATCGCTCCAAACGACCGCGTACCCGAGCACGGCCCGAGCTGCCTTGGGTGACGCCACCAGCACAGGCGGGACCGTGCCGGGGGTGGTGCACTGGCTAGCACCGGTCTCGCCCCGTCCGCGGTATGTGTCTGGCGCCATACCGGAGACGGACCTGGTCAGGCGGGCCTCGGCCCCAACCCGCTGTCGCTGACGCACTAACGCGATAACGCGCACACGCACGCACGCACGCACGCACGCACGCACGCACGCACGCACGCACGCACGCACGCTGCGTCCACATTGGAACGTGCCAGGGGTCCGCTGGCTAGCTGGGTAACGCGCGCGCTGCGCTCTCCGGGTGGATGTGGTTGGCGCGATAGCATCGCTCGGGGAGCTGCGACGCGTTCCGGTCGAAGAGACGGCGTTGAAGTGGTGTTCCGTGGTCGGGCTTTCCGCTGCCGTATTTGTTTTGCCGTGTTGCGGCAACGCATCCCAGCTTTGCTTACTCTAACTGGGTGAGACACTGGCAATCTTAGGAATAAATCGGGCGAGGAATTGGCCGTAAAGTATGGACCAGTGGCCTTCATGGACGTTTCGTCCTGGCTGGAAAGCCGTTTTCGATCATCTGTATTTGAAGATTGTGGCGGGTCCAACTAGCATTGAGGCTTCGGTGTGCCATCACTCCGCTGCCGGCGCCTCGCTGCCGCCGCCTTATAGCTGTGAACGCAGCGTCCTGTCGCTTTCCCACCCGAGTCCCCCGTCGACGCCGGCGAACCATGCGTCGCCCCATGCTTGTGGCAGCGCTGGCCGCTGACCGGCGCCGGCCCAGTCCGGCCGGCTGCCGGTGGCGCGGCGTCGGCTCGTGTGATGGGTTGGAGCGCCGGCCGCTGACCGGCGCCGGCTCATGTGATGGGTTGGAGCGCCGGCCGCTGACCGGCGCCGGCTCGTGTGATGGGCGGGAGCGCCGGCCGCTGACCGGCGCCGGCTCGTGTGGTGAATTGGAGCGCCGGCCGCTGACCGGCGCCGGCTCGTGTGATGAATTGGAGCGCCGGCGCTGACCGGCGCCGGGTTGTTGCGCAGGGCCTCCTCCAGCCTGCCGGGCCGCCGGCGGGACCGCGCCCGCGTGGTGGTGGTACACGACAGCGATGAGGAAGCGCAGCCGGCTGTCGTCGTGGTGAAGACGGAGCCCTCTTCCAGGTGCGTGCCGCGCAAGCCCGGCGGCGGCGGCGGCGGCGGCTGCGGGCTGGTCCGAGATCTGGTGTGATCGACACGGTGGTCATTCCTGTGTCGCTGCTTGGCGTGTGTTGAGAAGTTTTAAAGGACGGCTTGTGCCGATTGTGTTGTGTGAAGTGTATGTACAGCGGTGCTGAGCGCTGACCGAGTGCCGTGGCCGGGCAGCGGGTGCCAGCCGTCGGCGCCGCTGTCGCAGAAGAAGCGGCTGTTGGCCAAGTCGCAGTCCGAGTACCAGCTGAACCAGCCACCGGAGCCGGAGGAGCGCGAGCGGCGCGACTGGGACGGTCGCCGCCACAGCGTCTACATGGCGGCCGGCGAGCCGGCGCCGGCCGCACCCGCCGTCGACGACCTGCGCTACTTCGCGCACCGCGACGACTACCGCGCCCGCATCCCGTGAGCACGCCCCGCCCCGCTCGGCCCGGCGGCCCCCACCGAGAGGCTGTGTCATCGGCACGGTCGGTGCGCTCGGACCTTCCGTGTGTCCGAAGTTGCCTGCCTAAAGGCTGGTTAGGACATTTAGGACCGCTCAGAATCGTGTATTAACTTCAGGTAGAAAGTTATGAAATGCTCTCCTGAATTGTGTAGCGTCTTCACGCGTCTTCTTTTTACGCCGTAATATTTTGGCGACGTTTGGACATCCCTGGGCCATATAGGATGCGAGTGCGCCGCAGTGGCACTACCAGGGAGACGGTGCTAAGTTCGCATTGCTGTGGGAAATCGCAGTTGTGGCACGACTTCACTTCCCTAGATTTGTTGGGATTGAAAAGTTGCTTTTTTGAACATGGTCGTGGTGGGCGTATTGCGGAAATAATAATATGATAACTGATGTGCTAGACTCCTAAGTGGCGCGTTGTATGCCAGCTATTCAGCTTGCACGTGTGACGTGTTGGGTGTGCGTTGTCCGGCTGTCTGCGCGCCGTCGGTGTATCTGACGGTGCTCCGCCTGCACCGCCAGCCGGGCCGAGGTGCTGCCGCCGGCGGCACACTCTCAGCCGGCGGCGCGCTACGTGGTGGCGCCCGCGCCGGCCGTCTCCACCGCGCACCGCGACTACCTGGCGGCGGCGGCCGCTGCGGCGGCGGCGGCGGCGGCCGGCCGCGACACCGTGCTGCTGGCCGCCTCCCAGCCGGCGGCGCGGCCGCTGCACTCGGGCCGTGACCTGCTGCAGCCGGACCCGGGCGCGGCGGCGGCCGCCGCTGCCGCCGCCGCCTACCGCGCCTCGGCCACCGCTGCCACGTACAGGTGAGGCGCACTAGAGCCGCCTGGGCTGGGCGTGCTGCTGCTCATGCTCATGAGTCATTTTGATTACGTCAAGGTTCTAGTCTAAGCACAGAATGAGATCGTTGAATAGCGTTAATAATCTGACAGAGTTGGATTGACGGAGACATGGCATCTCGGCACAAACTTGTGCACGGTTGTATTTTGTTTCGTTCCAACGTCCGGTGGAGATTTACATTGTGCCGTTCAATCGATGTCGTGCCGTAAAATTATGCTGAAGCACCTACATGCTATGCCACCCAAATCACGTAGCGTTTTTTAAACCCAGTTGGTTTGATCAAAGTTTGATTTGGAACTTTCTGTTTGACTCGGAACTTCTACCAGAAGTTATGAAAACCACTTAGAACCTCACATGACGGTAAGGATCATTGCAAGCAAACCGCTCGAAAGTATGCTTTTTAACGGAAACACGATCTGAAGTCGTTGGTCCTTCGTCATATGTAATCAGTTGAAAACATTTGTAGTAAAGTAGCGGCGTGTGCTCCAACACACGTTCTTCACGTGCATGGGGCCGGTGTGCCGCGTCGACAGGGCCAGGAACTACGCCGCGCACGTGTCGCCGGGCCCGTGGGTGTCGCAACCGCCGCCGCTGGCGCCGCTCAGCCCGCGCCTGGCGCCAGAGCTGTTCCGCGACTTCCGTCGGCCGGCGGCCGTGTACGCCGTGGCGGCCGCGCAGCCGGCGGCCGCTGCCGCCGCCGCCGGACAGTACCTGGCGGCGGCCGCCGCCGGACGCTCCGTGGCGCAGATCCAGGCCGGGTGAGTCAGAGTGACGGACGGAGAGGGGGCCGACCGCCGCGCGCGGTCCGCACGGGCAGACAGGCGGGCCGGCCGGTGTGTCGGCGGTGTCACCGCACGTCTCGGTGTGTGGCCCTGGTAGTGACCAGTGGGCTGCCAGCGATCTCAGACGCGGTGACCGAATGACGTCCGTGCGGCTGCCGAATCCGTGTGTGGAGATCCGCAGTTGTTGCGATGTGTTGTTGTCTGGCGTGGCGCGTGGCAGTGTTTGGGACGGGCGCGCTGGGCAGGTGCGGCGTCACCGCCGCCTGACAGGGCGTGACCTCCACCGGCAGGCTGCTGCCGCCGCCGGCGCACCACAGCTCGGCGCGGCCCGTGCTGACCGCCCACCCGTCCGGACACCCGCTGCCGGCCCACATGCAGAGCGTGTTCAGCGGGCACCCCCAGGTGGCCGGCACCTTCAATTACGCGGCGCTCAGCCCCAGCAAGTCGCAGTACCAGCCGCTCTGGCTGGCCGAGTAGCGCCACCCGCTCTCCGCCTCCCTCTTTCCTCTGCTCTCCTCTCTCCAGGCTGTAATTGGGGCGCCGAGGCCGCGCACGTTCACTAGGTTGGTTTTACGTTGGTTGGTTTTAGGGCCGCAGGCTGTCGGTGTGTAGCGCTCGGGTCGGGCTAGCACGGCGCCGTTTGAGTGTTGACAATTGGGCTGGCTTTGTGTTAGCGTTCGTTCGTAGGTCGGTTTGAATGTTCGGTGTGCGCTGTGGTAATCATGTAGATACGGGGTGGTCGCGCCCGGGGAGTGGTATTTTCTGTATGTAACGAGTGGTGCCTTCGCCCTACCAAGTCTGGTGCTGTAGCGTTAGGTGATCTAGTAGCTTTAACTTGCAATGCTTTCCCATCGCCGCCGACGTTTGGAGGCGTGGCATTTTAGATTGGTTGTGGTGTTCAGCGTTCGTTTTTCTCGTTGTTCGACATGATTGGATTGACCGTTGGGCGTTGCCGGGGATGCGTCACTAACGCCCCCTTTTCGCGCACGCGCGCGCGCGTCCCGCGCTCGCTGTATGTGACGCATTTTAATTAATTCGGGTTGCGGTTACATACCCGTGTATGTATAGCTATTGCCAATGGGGTGCGCGCGACAGCCGTGGGTCCGCCGCCGCCGGAGCCGCGCCGTCCCGTGCCGTCCGCGCCGGAGAGCGGCGCATGCACTGCCGCCTGTCGGCCGGGCGCGCGGGCGGTCTGCGTCCAACCCCTCCTGCGGACCACATTTTACACGCCCCGCCCCGCCCCATCCCGTTCGGCCGATGGTGCCTGGCCTGGCCTGGCCTGGCCTGGCCGATCCGCGGCGGGCGTGCCGTCCCGGCCGGGCCTGGCGCGCGGCGCCGCCGGCCGCATGGCCAGTGAGTCCCCTCCGCTAGGGCTGGGGTAGCGGGCGGCGGGTGGCTCGTCGTATCACTGGGCTTCAGGGAATGACCTTTCATCAGCCTCATCCGCGGGCGGCGGGCGCCCGACCTGCCAGCCCGCGCTAACTTTCTCCATTCCACATCTACCGTGTTGAGGTGCGCGCGCGCGCGCGCCCGCGTCACCGTCACTGTCGGCCCCGGCTCAGCGAGCGGGTGGCGCGCCGACCCGCTCCGTCTCGATAATCAAACGCGCTGGACAGGCTCGCGCGGCCGCCGCGCGGCGTCCCAGACCTGCAGACCAAAGACCCGCAACCCCGGGCCGCTCCAGCCCGTCCTTCGTCTGGCTGCACTCCTTGTGATCACACACACTGCACTTTCACTACGCTAGCTAGGGAGGTTTTGCATAATAGTCTATTTTTCATATCTGTGTAGGGGCCCGGACCGGGCGAGCGGCCAGCGGCCGCCCGGGCGCCGCGCGCGTTTGTGTGCTCCGCGGGGCTTCAGTAGGCGCCGGCCCGGCCCGCCGGCGGGCGCGCCTCCGCTGTGCAGTTCTTCAATGTGATTTTTGCATTACGTACAAACGTAGCCGTTTCACCTTTGTATTAATACCTAGTGGTGTGTGATATATATTCTGATTAACTCTGCTATGGTTTGTCGCCCGGTAGTCGGTGTACCTCTAATATTCTGTGTAGGGGTGGCGCGCGGTCGCGGCGGGCCGCCGGCCACCCGAGGTGTTAGCCGCCGTGTATCTCTCGGTGTCGGATCATTAATTCGGGCGTGTGGACCGCCTCCGCTGCCTGCGCGGCCGGCCGGCAGTCCCCGGGCCGGCCCGTACCTCCACGTTGTGATACTCCACCACCGGCGCTCCCCTCCCCCAGCTCCGAGGCATCGCTCGTCACCAGGGCGCCGGCTCCAGCCGGCCCCACTGACTGTTTGCTGTAACCGGCAGGTAATAAAATTGCAGTGGCAGAATGACGGATGGCGTTTATTTTGGTGCTCGGCCGCTGGGAGCACCGGGAAACGTGGCAGCGTACAGCGCACATACGTCCATACACAACAGATCGCGGGAGGACATTTTACCTTACCGGCTCCAGCCTGCCCGAAAACACAATCATCACAGTACAGTAACGTGGCCGCACACGTTCCAAGAAGAGAAAGTTGGAGTGCCAAACGGCCGACCGGCAGCGCCGCGTCGTTACGGCCCACTGACGAACGCCGAGCAGCGGCGCCGGCGTCTAGCTGAGAAAGTCGTGCATCACGGACTCGTCCATCTGGTTGGGGTTGATCTGGCCCGGCTGGCCGGGCGTGGCCATCATGGAGCTGGCCGGCGCCTGTGGCCTCTGCAGCATCGACGGCCGATAGCTCTGCCGAACGCGCGAGATGGCGCGGTTACCAGCAGCAGCACAGCCGCCGGGCCGGGGTCACACGCGACGAGCGACAGCGGCCAGAGCAGGCGCGGCGGCGGCCGGAGCACAGCGCGTCGCTCGGTCGGTCGAGCCGCTCCCCAAATTACGTCCCGCTAATGCAATCACCAGCTAAACGGTGCGTTGCCATCCCTGGCACGTACACCGCACACATATTCCGAACTGGGTTAGGCGTCATAGGACCGAGCAGTAGACGCGCCCGAAAACCTAAATCACCACCTCTGCGGTGGTTGAGCGAGCCTATCTGTCACTGCACGTGATATTGGACGTGCATTGTTACCCGAGTCACTCGGTCTGTGATGCCAATCCAGGCTGTGGACAGTACCCAGTTGCTACATGTGCCGCCACCGCCTGTGATACGGAACAGTGAATGTTCGGAAGGCCATGGCTGTTCGCGACGCGTCGTGGCCGGGTTTTGACGGAGATAGCAAAATATAATTTATCCCATGCGCCTAAGCCTGGTGTTAGCCTCAACGCTTTCGTTAGTGTGATGAGGGGCATAACACATCGGTACTGGCATAAGGCAAACGTTCTCAGGCATTCTTGGTTCTAGTTTTATTAGAACATTGCACGATGTGGCACTGGCGCACAGGGTGTCCCGAAATTGATGCGATGTGACACTGACGTACAGGGTGTCCCGAAATTGATGTGCGGTTTGTGCTGCTTATCATCTTCCCCGTCGTGTCAGGCGATCACATGACCCAGGCGGTCAGCCTGACCTCGGCCGGTAACGGGCGGGAGAGGTCATGCCTTTCGAAACAGCCGGCATGTTGAGTCCGCATATCAGCATTGGTGAAAGAGCACGAGCCATCGATCCGCTGCCGCGCGGTTGGGATGGTCCAGGGCGGCACGATCCACGCTCCGGTCACTAGGGACTTCGGCGTCAACGTAGCGACGATCAGGCGCTGGCTGTCCGGCGGCCGCTCAGGAGAGACGCTCCAAAACCGCACAGCTCCTGGGCGGAAGTCGGCCTTAAGCTGAGTGGCGGAGATCGTCATTGGAAAGTCAGCCCTCAAAAGGCGTCACTCGACGAGAATCTGGCGAGAAAACTGACGGCGGAGAAGCACCCAGCCTCGAAGTCGGCCGTCCACCGGCATCTGAAGATCAGCCTGCAACTGAAGCCGCTCAAGCCCAGGTTGCAGCAAAGGCCTGCCGTGGACCAGAAGAGCAGGCGACTGGAATTCACCAAGGCCCGCAAGAACTGGTCCGTTCAAGACTGGAGTTGTGTCCTGCTTAGTGATGGGTCGCCCTTCGAGCTCTTCCAAGCACCTAACCGCCAGAACGACAGGATCTGGGCCAACAACAGCTCGGAGGTGCCCATCACCGAGGCAGTGAGGCAGCCGCTACAGGTTCTTGTCTGGGGAGAGATGAGCTACAGAGGCCTCTCTGAGCTACGCCAAGTCTCGCATTCTCGTGCGGGCAGACCGTCACCGCTGACTACTGCGTCAGAGAGGTGCTGCAGAAGACTGCAGCCTCGATGGTGCAGCGGAGGAAGGAGAATGGCCCGCCAACCAAGATCAAACTCCTGCCAGGCATGTCGAGGGCAATATTCCAGCAGATCGGTGTTCCAGCTCATGCCAGGAAGACCCCGGACTGGTGCCGCGCCAACTTCCCGGACTTCTGGGAGAAGGGTACGTGGCCAGGCAACAGCCCCGACATGTCGCCGATCGAGAATTTTTGGGCGATCGTCAAGATAGAGTTCAGCAAGATGTCGCCGGCCACTTCAGAGAAGACATTGTTCCAAAACGTGCAAGCGGCGTGGCGGAGAGTCGAGGCAGAGACTCTCGACAGCCTGACGTGCGGCCTGCCGGAGCGCCTGCGGCAGCGTATACGGCTGCGTGACGATTACATTGGCAAACAATCGTGAACCGCCGGAATTATTTTCCACGTTAGTGAGGACGATACAACCGCGCATCAATTTCGGGACACCCTGTGTGGGCCATCCCATGTCGAATCGATTAAGCTTGCCCCTCAACAACTCTGATTATGTTCCGTCGCCACTGTGCACCAGTTTGCTTCATCTTATTATCATAGTGCATGCCATTATGCACTTCCAAAGTTTTATCCAGAATCCAGAAAATTAAGAAATAAGTTTTATCCAACGTTTTATCCTCAACTGCGCACAATGCCAGCCAGCCGAGGTAAGCATCCCCAGCACGCGCCACATCGGTCGCCACCGTCTCCCAGCACGCGATGGCCGGTCGCTCGTGGAGTGGCCTCGATGTTCGGATGTCCTGGATTTAACTTTAAGCACAGGAATTTCGGTAGTAAATAAGATCCTTTTAGAGCGCGGTCACTTGATTTCAGATAGGACTCACAAAGTCGACATTCAGTTCCAAACTAGGCTGTTCTCCCATCAATCACCGATCATCGACCTGCGCCCACTCCAGCTGCCTGGCTAGGCCCTGAGGCGACCGGTGGTGCGTGTCCGCCGCGCTCAGCAGAGCCTGACGCCGCCACCCTCACCTGCTGCAGCAGGGTGCGCAGGCCCGGCGTTGAGTCCATCTGCTGCTGGGGCGCGCGGCCGGCGGTGGCGCCCGGCGGCGCCAGCTGCGCGCCACCCTGCTGCACTAGCTGCTGTGCGCTGCCCTGCACCAGCTGCTGCGCGCCGCCCGGCTGGAACTGCCGAGACCGGCGTCACCGGCGCCTGTCCGGGGTCCAGGCCGCGGCACACGGTCTCCGCCCCGCCGGCCGGCACCCGGGGCACGACACACGGCCGCGTCGTGTGTCGTGCACACGGAGGGGACGGGGGAGGGGGCACACGGTGACAGGGAGCGACGGCGGCGGCACTGGAGCGGGAGCTGCGGACACGCCGCTGCGCCAGCCTCAACTGCGCACAATGCCAGCCAGCCGAGGTAAGCATTCCCAGCGCGCGCCACATCGGTCGCCACCGTATCCCAGCATGTGACGGCCGGTCGCTCGTGGGGTGGCCTCGATGTTCGGATGTCCTGGATCTAGCCATGCGATCTACATATCGATCAGAACAACATCGACTGAGCTGAACATTAGCGTAACGGTGGTGATGACGGACAGCATGGTCCTTCGTCACAAAAAAGCAATATTTCGGACTTGGTAATGTGCTGATGTCTTAATCTTGTGGCTGCCGAGGTCAAACGCCCGCCAGACACAGGCCGACTGCCCACCTGCTGGTGATCCTGCTGCGCCTTGTACTGCATCTCCTTCTGTCGCAGCTGCGCCAGCTGCTGCTGCAGATGGCGCATGCGCAGCAGGTTCTGCTGCCGTTCGGCCTGACCCTGCGGCTGCTGCTGCAGCTGCTGCTGCTGGGACAGCTGGCTTGCCAAGAGGCCCTGTTGGCAGGTCAGCGCCAGATCAACGACCGGGGCATGCGGCTGTCCCACAGGCCAGCCATATCGCTGTGCATGCTTCACCGTTACATGGGATGTTCAGTAGAGGTGCCCATTGGATTGCGGATTTTCGGAGTTCCAATTATTTCAAAAGTCCAATTTGGAAATTTCACCAACCTGGACCAAAACATTTGGAATTTTTCAGCCAGCCGTTGACATCCTGTCGTGCCGCAAATAAGTGTGCACCTCAACTTATTTAATGCAGGTGCACATTACCTACCCACGATCGCTTTCTTACTTTTCGTTCGATTCAAGTGATGGAATGCAGCGTCGCGAGTAGTAAGTGAGGTTCTTGGTTGTACGTAGAATGACGTTGATGTTTTTTAGTATGGTTTTGAATTATGCCCCAGAGGTGGGACACCTCCTTTCACGGGATACTCCAGAATGGGTGCGTACAGTAACTTAGTCACACGCAAGAAATCCGCTTCTTTTTAGTCCATGCGTTTTATGTACACCTCCACGACATGAAAAAAGTCAGGCTGGACAACAAAGCCGCGGCTTTGGCCGCGTTACTGGAGGAGCGACTTCATTTAACGAATGCTGGTGAGTGAATTAACGAACGAATGGATGAATGAATTACTTAACTGATTGACCACAGCACTGGATAGCATGCCACAGATGGGGCTCAATCCCCACCCTTTCCAAATTTCGTTGTCCCGCCCTGCCAGATTAGCGGACCGGTTACCAGCTTAGGAATTTGCGTCCACTGTCTAGCACCCCCCGCGGTGACACGCTCCATTGCAAGGAGGGGGGGGGGGCTTGCTAGCAGGATGGGTCCCGGCCACGCTGGTCGGCTAGACGACCAGAGTCCACAGGTCCAGCCAGCGGGCGAGCCAGCCCCCTCAGCGGGGCGGTCGCCAGCGTCCCTCACCAGCCGGAGCGCCTGCTAGAGGGACAATAGCCGCGATCGGCTGCCAGGGCGCGAGTCGTGGCGGGTCAGTGAGTCTCACCTGCCGCTGGACACCACCGGTCAGCGAACACAGCCGTCGGCGTCCGTCATTGGGGCTTACAAAGGACGGGCACCGTTGGGAATTGAACCCCGTATCTCAGGTTTCCTAGGAGCCAGTGGTTAACACAGACACGTTAACCACTACACTATTGACACCCCCAGCGAACAGAGCCAAACCCAATCACAGCCTCGTGGCATATGTCGCTGTAGTGACCATCAGCACTCAGTCCACAAAATAACGCAGCGGACGCCTAGTTCACTCGCCTGGGTCGCTGTGTTCGACTGCATCTGCTGCTGCATTTGCTGTTGCCGCAACTGTTGCTGCTGCTGTTGCTGCTGCTGCTGTTGCTGCTGTTGTTGTTGCTGTTGCTGCTGCTGTTGCGGCATGTTGATCTGCATCTGGGGTGCCGAGCCGCCCACGGTAAACTGGCCCGAGTGGCTCATCAGGGTCTGGCGGACCCCAGCCGGGCCCGGGCCGCCGGCCAGCTGCGGCGAGCGGCCGCGAACTCCACCTGGCGACACGGGCAGCGCGCGCCGGCCCTCAGCGACGGAGCCACAGCCAGCGCACGGCGTGGCGCCTGGCACGTACATCCAGAGCCAGCGACGGCCAGCACAAGGCAAAACAGAACGGCCAGCACGAGACGGTACACACGTCCGTCCACTCACGGACGCTCCAGAGCCGCCACCGGCCGGCGGAATCGTCCGGTGCTCTGCGGAGAGATTTCACAGACCGCTCACAAGTCGTTCGCTATCAGCGGTGAAGAGCTCGGCCTCCCAGCAGCAATGGCACGAGGCCGTGGGCTGGTGACCAGTGAGGTTGGGGCGGGTGCGGCAAGTGCCCCCCCCCCCCCCCCTGCTCTCCCCACCCCTCGGCGACCGGTGACGGTGAACGGGAGACGGGACGGTACCGTGAGGGTACCGTCGGTACGTGACAGATAACGGGACGGTACCGTACCGGCCTCGCCCTGCGACAGCTGGCCGCCGCCCAGCGCCATCGGGTTGGTCTGCTGGATGAGCAGGCCCGGCCGCGGCCCAGTCATCGGGCCGCTCTGCGCTGCCGCCGCCGCTGCCGCCGCCGCTGCCGCCACCGCTTGCTGCTGTTGTTGCTGCTGTTGTTGTTGCTGCTGCTGTTGCTGTTGTTGCTGCTGCTGTTGTTGTTGCTGCTGCTGTTGTTGCTGCTGCTGTTGTTGCTGTTGTTGCTGCTGTTGTTGCTGTTGTTGCTGCTGCTGTTGTTGCTGCTGTTGCTGTTGCTGCTGACGTTGCTGGAAGCAAACGAGTCGAGCCGTTGATGAGATGAGCCACTCGTCGCAGGTGCTCCCGAAAGTAAGAATTATGCGGCACTGCCGACTTCCACGCACATCACAACAGAACCACGCAGTCGAATACCGGCTGATCACTGACCCGAGCCGTGCCAAGCACGCAGAAAACATAGCTAGGCTGATCGGCACGAACCGACACGCTATCCGGTGACACGACGTTGCAGCATGAATCGCATCACTTACGCCTGCTCCACGCAACAGTACAGCGTCAAGTACAGAGCTGACCCCGGCCCCGCCCAGGTCAGCGTCGGCGTCAGGTACGTACCCGTAACGTCTGCATGTTCAGGATCTGTTTCTGTTTGGCCATCACTTCTTTCAGCTTCTCGATGAACCCGTTCTGATCGTTGGGAATAAAGCCGAAGTAGGTCTGCTTCTCAGCCGCGTACAGGAGCATCATGACTTTGACGTCGGTGGGCGTTAGCGAGCTGAAGTAGACGCAGCCAGTCTGCCAAGATCAAAGACGGACATACGTTAACCGAGGCCGGCAACCAACCGGACCAACCCGACCTGCTTTGCAGCAAACGGAACGGAACAAACGTCTAGGCGCCAACAAAAAGATGGTGTGGCGGCCACTAACCTAATCTGGCCATAGATACAGACACACGATGCAGATACGATGCAGCCAGTGATTTTCAAGTCATTTTCACACCGTACCAATTAAGTAAAAGCATCGTTATGGGCGCAAAATGACCACTGCGGCCGACGCGCCCGAAAACACCAATGCACAACAACAAGATACTTTAGATAGAGATGATGCGGCACACCACCAACGCAGTTGCTGGCGGGCGGCTACAGCAGCTTGGAGGATCGGTAGGCCCACTCCGGCGCCGGCAGCACTTACACTCCCATTGCTCATGACCTGGCTGAGCCGCTCCAGCGGCTCACACGGTTGCAGGTTGAACTTGACCGAGCGGATGTTCTCGAAGTAGACCTTGCCGATGGTGCTGATAACGGTGCGGTTGATGAGCTGCATCATCAGCTTGTTCGGCCAGTTGTCCGCCTTGCTGCGGAGGAGGCACATGTCGCTTAGGAACGGCGATCAACACGCTGTGGCAAGGCACGTCGCTTTGCATGACGAGTTCGCCACCAGATCAACTTATGAGTAGCTGTACTGTTGGGTGGGCTCCGGCAGAGAAGAGAGGCTCTCTACTTTGAACTTCCCGAGTCGAAGTATATCACTTTTATGGCAGACTTAATGATGTTCAGCTGACATTCTCTCTACGCGCATTACCAATAGACGGAAAAGGCAGCGGAAATACCCCCCCCCCCACTCTCTCTCTCTCTCTCTCTCTCTCTCTCTCTCTCTCTCTCTCCTCCTCTCTCTCTCTCTCTCCTCTCTCCCTCTCCCCCTCTCCCTCTCCCCCTCTCCCTCTCCCTCTCCCCCTCTCCCTCTTCCCTCCCTCCTCTCCCTCTCCCCTCTCCCTCTCCTCTCCATCTCCCTCTCCCTCTCTCCCTCTCCCTCTCCCTCTCCCTCTCCCTCTCCCTCTCCCTCTCCACACACACACACACACGGGCTGGCCAGCAGCGTTTCTGTCCACTGCCTGCGGCGCGACTCACACTTCAGGCTCGCCGCTGGCGTTGGTGTTGCAGCTGAGCCCACATGGGATCGAGTGCACCAGTTTGCTGACCTCGCCCGGCTTCTTCTCGGACCACTCCAGCGTACCCTCCCAGATCTTCACCTGAGGAGGCACCGACGGCAGCCGTCAGGGAGGAGCACGCGCCGGCCGCCACCGTCGGCCCCCCAGTGGCGCAGACACTATTGCGCGGCTTCACCGGCGTCAGCGCGCCGAGACAGCACACAAGACGGCACAGCGCACCGACCAGACACGCCACGGGCCGATCCAAAAAACACACACACCGTTGCCTCGTGCACAAAAGCGACGGACAGCATCTGGAGACAAGGGGTGACCTCACCGCGTGACTCTTGGCTCGGCGGACGAGCTAATCTTGGTCATGTTGGCAATATGGCCGCGGCCACCTCTCTGTGCCCCTACGTCCGCCGCGCAAGGTAAGCTGGGACGATTAGCAAACCACATTAAGTTTACAAGCAGCACTTCTGACCTTTGCAAACCCGACATAAGCAAGAGTGTCGTCCAAAGGCAAAAGGGCCTAAGCGCCATTGGTAAAGTGGCACTCAGGCCTTTTTGCCTTTGGAGGACGGAAGAACCACCGATCGCGAGGCCTGGCGGACTCAGCACAGGTACCCAGCTCTCGTCCGCGGCCGGCACCAGACGACGCGGCCTGTGCCGGCGCGCCAGGCTGTGTGACGCCTCCACCCACCGGGTGCTGGGGCGGCCCCATCATTCTGGGCTGCTGCTGCTGCTGCTGCTGGAGCTGCTGCTGCTGCTGCTGCGGCTGCTGCATGCTGGGACCGGACCCGCCCACAATGCCCTGCTGCTGGCCGACGAAGCGCGGCACCTGGGGCCGCATCATACCAGCCACCATCGGCACTGCGGACGGAGAGGGCCGGCGCCAGGTCACACGGCGCTATACCGCCACTCCGGCGCACCGGGCGCCGGACACCAGACGGCCGCGCACCCGAGGCCCGACGCCACCGACCGCACTGCGCCGCTGAGGCGCTCCACAACGGTCCAAGGAGTGCACCCCCAGACGATGTCAACAGAAATGCGGCCGGGGAACACTGCACGCGCCGCGGCTGAGCTCAGTACCGAGTGTGGCAGTCACCGGCGCCACTCCTCGCCCCGCGGCGCTCACCCTGCATCCCCTGCTGCTGTTGCTGCTGCTGTTGCTGTTGTTGCTGCTGCTGCTGTTGCTGCTGAAGACTGAAGGGTGACTGCGCCTGCTGCGAGCTGGCCGACATGGTGGGCTTGTTCAGCTGGGACAGCAACACCGAATGCTGCTCCCCCAGCTGCCCGCTCGCCGTCTGTGACATCGAGGTCTGCGGCATGCCTGCAGACGGCCGCCTTGTTGTGGTGCGCAGAGCAAGGCCAGGGCAGCTAAAAATATTGTGTCCAACGGAACAACACCGCACACAGTGTGGCACAGATTAATTTTGCGCTTTCAAATTTGATGGTTTAATTCGCGTAGTGGTAATCTCCAAAAACCCAAATCACCTACGAAACCTAAGACAAACTCTCAGCCACACGAATTTTACAAGCAGTGCAAGCTCGTCAAAGAATAACCAAACGAGTATGGAGTGTATTAACAGCTGTTCATATGACAGCTGTTTTGCAGCTCTCGAAATGACTCCGCACTTTACAGGGTATCGGGGTGGCGTTTTTGGTTTTCAGCCCTGCACCTGTACAATTTCCCTCCTCTGGCCGGACGCATCACCGCGTTCCTTTATCAGTACACTGGGCACATGAAACGTGGAGCTATGCCACATGATCAACGCGATCCATTATTTGTCACTTCCTGCTCTCACAGCGTTACGAAGATACACCAGCAAGTTCTCAAGTGTTTTCGAATAGCACCGGTATTCAACAGTTCCTATGAATTCCTACCACTTTGTTTTTCCTGCAAGATATACTTAATTAACCCAAAGGACCTCTCATTCCCGATGAGCATATTGTCGCCTTGCGGACAGCCGTGACAGACGTGTTCGCCCCACAAGCTCAGCTGACACCCAATCACGCACACACGCACACGCGCACACACGCACGCACACACACACACACCCACACTGGGGTATAGCGTCCAGCACTGGTGGTGGACGACGCTCCGCACTAAACTAGTAAGCAAAAAATACCTTTCACTGAAATATCCTATGATTTTACTATGTTACGAAGTCCTTTATGGACGATCTCATATAAATTTTGCAATCTGCCTCGTGCAAGGAAGAGAAGAAATATTGTTGCTTATTTCCGAGCCCAGCCCTCTGGCCCTGCCAGAGGCACGTACCGGACATGCCCGGCTGAAGCTGCTGCTGCTGCTGTTGCTGCTGCTGTTGCTGCTGTTGCTGCTGCTGCTGCTGCTGTCCCTGCCAGCGCGGCTGGACGTTCATCATGACCTGGCCCGCCGACGGCGGCTGCACGGTCACGTTGGGCGGGCCCGGCTGGCGCATGCCACCCATCACGGTGATGCAGCCGGGCGGGCGCTGGCCCTGGATGCCGGCCGCCAGCTGCTGACCACGCACCAGCACCTGCGCAGCCGTCATCCCGCTGTCATCGCCCCGCTGCTGTCGTCTCGCTGCCGTCATCCCACTGCCGTCATCCCACTGTCGTCATCCCACTGCTGTCATCCCACTGCCGTCATCCCACTGCCGTCATCCCAGTGTCGTCACCCCACTGCCGTCATCCCAGTGTCGTCACCCCACTGTCGTCAACCCACTGCCATCATCCCACTGCTGTCATCCCACTGCCGCCATCCTACTGTCGTTACCCCACTGCACGGCAGCGCGCTCCTGGCGCCACCCGCCACTGACGTGCTCTGAGGCCACCACACACAGAGTCGGCGACATCCCGCCAGCCTCGCCCACCCGCCAACGGGGAATGCACATAGCTCCCGTTCGTTACGTGCTGCCTCCCTTCCCCATTAGCCCGTGATCGGGGCATGGCACCGCCACTCCAGGGGGGGGGGGGGGGGGGAAGGAGGGTCGTCGCCGCCAAGGAGCACCGAGGGACGGCAGTCGTACCGGCTTCATCTGCGGCTGATACGTCTGGCTGGGCACCGGGCTGGCCCGCTGGTTGGGCGGCGTGGGCGCGCGCGTCATCTGCGCCATGTTCAGGATCATCTGCTGCGACTGCGAGAGCGGCTGCGCCGGCTGGTTCAACGCCTGCGAGAGTGTGCTGATGGGCGCTGCTGCAGACACGGCGAGGGCGTCACGTCAAACACGGCCCAGGTCACAGCGGCACGTCACGCCGCCAGAGCCGCGGCAGACGGCCGGCGGCAGACTGCGGCGCGGCGCCAACACGGTGCACCGCATCCAGACAACGCAAGAGGCACGGCAGACGCCCGGCAGCAGAGGCTGCGGCACGGCGCCGACACGGTGCACGACATCAAACATTGCTCGTGTGCGGCTCCTGACAATGAGCACGCTATGCACTGCCATTTGATCTGAAAATCTAACTGGCAGACCATCTCACAAAAGATCTTAAACGAATTCACGTGACACGCTCTGCCACGAAAAAATTGAGAACGAAAACATTGCTTCACGAGGAAGGTGTGAGCGGACCAAGACGAGCCACCCTAATGCGAGCACGACAGCCGGAGTTCTATGTGCTTGCATTAACTGGCTGCCTTCAGTGCAAAATGCTTTCTTTTATTTTTTGTCAATTAAGTGCTCAGCTTCGCATACAGATAACTGAAGAAACCACATTACCTGTAGCCATGTTTTACTACACATATAATGGAAAACAATGATTAAAGTATTGACACGAAGCCCTGTACTTATCAAACATACTTCCGCAACGGCTTCTCACGGGACCCTTCTGCGCTAGTAATGAGACTGTGTCCACCAGTAGCTATCAGCAAAACTTGCTGCACCTACCGGTTTGCTGTATGCTGCCCATCTGCTGCTGCTGCTGCTGCTGCATTGCCGCAGAAATGGAAATCTGCTGCTGCTGTTGCTGCTGTTGTTGTTGCTGCTGCTGCTGTTGCTGCTGCTGCTGTTGTTGTTGCTGCTGCTGCTGTTGTTGCTGCTGCTGTTGCTGTTGTTGCTGCTGTTGCTGTGCTGTGTTCAGTTGTTGGTTACTGCTTGCCTGCTCCTGCAAACTGACGTACCGCCCGGACGTCAGCCAGGGCAAGTGAGGTGTCAAAGACTATCAAATAGAGATCGCCACACGCTGTCGTGTAACGCATGCGGTATACACGGGGTCGAAACTGGGGCAAGGCGGTTAAGCATACACGCGGCGACTCCACTAGGGGTGCAGCTGGGCTGTACCTGCTGGGTCGTCACGCCGACAGGCCCGTGACAGTCACACCAAACCTGCAAACGCCAGCTCAAGCACCCGCTTGGCGAAACACGGGCCCGGCAAACGCTGGTGCGGGCCCTTACACGACACGTGGCTTCAAGTGTGATCTGTTCACACAGCACCAATCGACGAGTGGTCACTCGGCAGCGGGTTACAAACAAAGCTGCGGAGAGAAGGGGAGGGGGAGGGGGGTCGGAACCTATCGGCAAGGCCCACCTGAAGCCGTTGAGCAGTATGAGGTGGTGTGGGTCGCGTGAGTAGTTCTTGGCGTGGTTCATGGCCACGTCGCCGCCGGCCTGCTCGAAGATCTTCTGAATGCCGCCCAGCCGCCGCGGACACATCACAGACAGGTGGATGGAGCGCTGAAACAGCGCGGCGCACCGCACCCTGACAACGGGCACGCGGCGAGGCGCGGCGCGGCGCGGCGCGACACACACCGGCGACACGCTCAGGCGCCAACAGGCTGTCAGCCAACAGGACCGTTTTATAATCCGTACGCCCGCACTACGTGAGTGTAAGCGTGGAAGGGGCATACTTCCACCGTTGTATGTGGGCTCAGGTCAGACGGGTTATGCGTGTGGCACGCGGCGTGCTTCCCATCTGCACAACACATCTGGCGTTTGGATCCCGGCCATAAGTCTTATGTCAGCCGATGTACACCGATGTCAGTCCACCTTGAAGGCCAGTCCACATTGTGAGTCCACCAATGTCAGCCCACCTTAGTTCCAATCAAGGCAAATGCTGTGTCCAATGATCAGCGATATATATGCCTCCACATGCCACAAACCATTTGTGACATCACCTGGCACAAGCCCACAGGATGGACACTCAGCCTGGTACGCACGCTCTCATGGACACCACTGATCGATATGTGCGACTCTATATAGCCTAACACGCCAATTGGAACCGCGAATGAGCATCACCAGACCCCCAGCCTGCTTCTACCCCAAGAGAGACAGGCAAGGCGACGGCGCGCATCGTCCGTCACCCCATGTATGCCGGTATGCCTCATGCATACCTCATGTATGCAGGTATTCCTCACATATACCCCATGTATGCCGGTATGCCCCATGTGTACCTCATGTATGTTGGTATGCCCAATGTGTACCCCATGTATGCCAGTATGCCCCATGTGTACCTCATGCATGCCAGTATGTCTCATGTATACCTCATGTATGCTGGCATGCCTCACGTGTACCTCATGAATGCTGGTATGCCTCATGTATACCTCATGTATGCCGGCTGTCAGCTGGTCCATGCTGCAGCCCAGGAAGCTGGGCGTTTCCTGTACGGGCAGCTGGAACGGCAGCGAGTTGCAGACGAGCACGCAGTGCCGCTGCACCGACCCCGACGGCTCCCGCATGCTCTTGAGGTCGTCGAAGCACTGCAGCGCAGTGGCCAAGCCCTCGGCGATGCAGGACACGTTGTCACAGTTGCCGCCGATGAACCTGCCACACGCAGCACGTGGCGATGTGACGCGCACCCGGGCCCGCCTCCAAGGTCTGGCGCGTGGGATGTGCGATGCGTGCCTCGGGACGTCTCTGAGGCCGCGCAGGCGCAGTGGCGGGTGTCGGCAAAACGCCAGTTCTACAGTGACACTGACACCAAGATGAGCCAGAATTGGGAGCAATGGAACCCAACACAAATGGTAGCAAGATCAGGGGGAGACACTAAAGCACAGCAAACATTGGTGAAAAGCAGGACAATTAAGTGCCTGCAGCAGCCAACACACAATGCATCTTCAGATCATTACAAACTTCAGACCCCCTCCCTATCTCTTCCAAATTGGCCCCCATAGCCTGGGCAGGTGGAGTGGGGTGGGCCGTATGGTGCGACCCCTGCCACTCACTCAGCGCTGTCCAGGTACTGCAGGAACTTGTCCGGGGCGGCCACTGGCAGGCAGCAGGCCACCGGCGGCTCGGGGATGCCATCGCCGGCCGTAAAGGTGACCAAGGTGAAGAGCGTGCCCGAGCACTTGCCGCCATACTGGCTGAGGTCGCTGCCAGTGGTCTTTGTCGTGAAGTACCTGCGGTGGGTGAGCCAAGCACAAATAAACCGTCTGTGCGAGTTGTGCTCTCAACTGACAAACCGGTGTTTGATTCCCCGCTGAATTATATAACATGAACACAGATTCAGCTCATGGCCAGCTGCATTAGCAGGGAAAGTTGCCTGACTCATGGCCTAATGGGGCGGGGAACCGATCTTGTACGTGTGCATGGTCCAGACCAGTCCGGACCACTTATAGTCGCACAATGCTGTACAACTATTTGAAAATAATCCCCAAAACTTTCTTTGCATGCCTGATTTGCTAGGCATTGATTTTGGCACTAACAAGAAAAAGGCATTGGTTTACTGTGCCTTAATACATATATTTAAAGCAGTGTACTTGGTCAAGACTGCTCAACGGGCCGCTTCAACTGCCCAGTTTGGACAATATAACCAATGTCTATTCGAAAATGTTATTTAACTAGAGCCTCCTGATACAGAAAAAGGTGATCATTGGGTCAGGGTATACATTGCTACCACATGTTAAAAAAGAGCATAGTACATCAATCGTCATCTTAAAGGCAGAACATATCGTAATTAATCGTAAAACAGGTCATCTTAACTCTTACCTTGGAACTTAAGTAAATACGATAGAGAACATCCGAGCGCCATACACGCGCAGCAACCGCGACCCCGGCGCCATTGCTACGCGTAATCACATTACTGCGTGGTCATAATATAACTGCACATCAAGAACCATAAAAATGTATGAGGCCAAGGAAATGAGAATCCACTGAAACATGTTTCTTGTGTATCCAAGCAGTCTGCTGTATTGTTTGTAGATTGGTCGACATGGTAGGGACATATGACATTTTGGGTGGGAATGAAAACCAAAATGAGAATATGACAGCTAAACAAAACTTCTTAATACAGTACATATGTATGGCATGGAACATGGATGCCAATGGGACACTGGGTTGAAGGGGATATGGTGTGAGCCAGGGGGTTAGGTTAGGTTAGGTTAGGTTAGGTTAGGTTAGGTTAGGTCAGGGTCAGGTCAGGTCAGGTCAGTTCAGGTCAGGTCAGGTCAGGTCAGGTCAGGTCAGGTCAGGTCAGGTTCAGGTTAGGTTAGGTTAGGCTAGGGTAGGCTAGGCTAGGTAAGGCTAGGTTAGGTTAGGTTAGGTTAGGCTATTTTAGGCTATGTTCAGGACTATTCTGGCCTGTCTGTTTCATAAACGTACCTAGACGTGATAAGATATGTTTTTCATTGCATTATTATTGTTACCTTCACACCATAATTTTTATGGTTCTTGGTAAGCAGAAATATTGTAATTACGCAACGACAACACAGAAACGGCGCTGAGGAGTCAGGGCGGTGGAGTGCGTGCAGCGCTCGGGAGCAAATTTGAAGGTAGGAGCATGAATCTACCTGCTTTATGATTATTTATATGTTCTGCCTTAAACACGACAAATGATGTACAATGATTTTTTCTAACATTAGGTACCAATGTATACCTACACCAAGACCAAGTAGACATACAGTATTGCAGTGCATCTGAATGTGTGCATGAAACACTCACTCCAATGTAGGCTTGATGTAATTGTCCAGGAGTTCTGGCAGGTATGCCCCATTCAGAGCAGTTGCCTCTACCACAAACACCACATCAGCCTCTGGTGGCTGCTCAGGACGACCAGGGAGAATCATAGCTGTCAAAAGGGGCAAAACAGTAGCACATATGGCAGTAGATTGGTGTAGAATACTGAACATAAACCTGATATGGCATGCCAGGAAAGTGGCAACTCCTAAGATCGAACACCAGTGCCACAAGATATCAGGCTGGCATAGGTCCAGCAAGCTACCCTATTCACAGGATCAGCACAAATTTGAATTTCCACCTCCTCTCCACCCACCAGACCACGGAAACTGTATTTTCAAGCCCAACAAATCCAGAACACCTGGAACTTAACTGTCCTGTCCCTTGGTTTTCCAAGAAAAAAACAATATGCCAAATCACCTTGGTGCACAGGGAAAACTGACTGCCAGAAATACTGCTGAAAAAACTAAGAACATAAAACTGAAAGCTGCAAACTACCAAAAATGGGTTACACCAAACATGTCAGGCATGGCAATGACATCCTGGCAACAGCCTCAGTACATTCAAAGTCAACTCGGAGAACCCAGAACTCAGTGCATGACCACCATCAGTTTACGCATACAGGCAATATTTCAAGAAATTATGATGCTGCTCACATGATTTCAATCAAGGATACCGCAAAGAACACATTTCTTTCAGAAATTTTAAAACTAACCACAATGTGGCCATCCCTCAATTTCACACCTGAATATCCCAGGATCAGAGCACAAACACCATGTTTCCGTTCAGCGCTTTGGATATATTTTCGGAGACTGGATATGGATCAGCTGGCTATATCAAACTATGAACAATATTCTCGGTGGGTTCCAAATTTCCCACACTGATCTTTACCTTGAGGACAACGCAATCAGGAGGCAAAAGAGACGGCATATGTGGCGCACTGTCATTAAGGTCTGCATTGACGGCCGACAAGTTAGCTGATGATGACGTCATTTGCAGCCCCCCAAACCCAACAAAAAACAAGTCAAACATGTTCCCAACAACGTCACTGATAGACGTTCAAGAAATTTATCATATTTTGCTGCTCATAAAATCACAAGAATTGACGAACTGCTCACTGTGACAAGCCAACAAAAGCTGTTCCACATCACAGCTCATGCAACCTTTTGATCACGTCTCTTGAAATAAGAAAGGAATCAGGTGTGGGGGGGGGGGGGAGTGCCCCATCCTTCGCACACGGTTTTAAAAACATACTCTAGTGAAGCCCAAGAAATTGCTGGTCTTATATCAGCACTGGGCTGCGTCACTTTAAAATTGTGAAGACAAGGGGCACAGCTTCAAATGAGATCTCGCACAGGCTCGACTGCTTTAAATAAAATTCTTAGCTATAAGCATGCAGTTTTCAAGAAAACTGGTAATAGTGATCAAAACATCAGGTACAACAACAGGTGATTAACGTACGCATACGCGTTTAGTATAACTATAGGTGAAAAACACAAAAATGTGATGCTCCCTTAACCTACTTTTTACGTTTACAAAGTCGCTAGCTATTGACTGATGACGCTGCTGCAAAATCTCGTAGGCCATCCACTCGATACAGCCCTTAAATTTGTGTGATAACGCCACCAGAAGGCTTTAAAGGATGCGGGGGAGATACGAGCAAGGCACAAGCTGATACCGTCGCCCATCACCCTGAAGATGATTTTATTGGGTAGACCAAGACGTCATCACCAGCTGACTAGATATTCCTCAATACAGATCTGAATGACACAGCGCGTCACATATGCCGTCACCTTAGGCACCCAAGTAGCATCATCGTTCACGGCATTGTCCACGATTGTTGTTTGTCCACAGCATTGGCCTCGGTCGATGTTTGTCGTGTATTTGTTTTGGAGTTGTCGGCAGGTAAAGATCACAGCCGAATGGCTGCAAGTCACAATCAGATTGTCATGAGCTGCTTAGGCAAGGGATGTAAAACTCCTTTTCCTTTCAAATTTTCAGTTGCCCTTGAGGTCATTGTGAACAGTAGGAAACATGCATTTTCTCACCTAGTGCACTTCGTTATAAAGGCGTTCTTCACCTATGGGCTTATTTCATGCTACCATGCACTAGTGGTGTAAAATAAGGCTGTTATTAGAAATGGCATAACAATTTTATGAGGCACACTTTTGGCTGCTAAGACTGAAAGTATATGCAAATAATGCTACCAAATGCTGCAATTGTAAACTCCGAGTACAAGGTTAATGAAAGCCAAGTGAATGCTTGGGAACACCATATGAAACTATATATGTAACTAAACCTGCATTTACAAACATGAGTAAAACATGTGTAAAGCCTCATTCATCTCCAAAAGTGTAGACCTTATTCCTAACAGCATTGAAATTTGGATATTTCCCTCTCAAGCATGTGTTTCACAAGTGTTTTGCTGCTTAGAAATGGCTTCCCATTTAGAACTGATGTGATAGTGATGATGAAATATGGTGATAATACTGATAGTGATGTGTGTAAATGCCTTGTGTATCAGCACTTTGGATGCTTATTGTTCTTTGTTGGCCCAGTATTCCATTTTTTGCTTACATACATTGGGAGAGGGGGGGTCTCAGAGTAGCATTCAGGGTGCTTAAGTCAGCCTTAGGAGCACAATGGGTAGGAGCATCTTCCTTCAGATTTGCCTGCTCCTGGCAGGGTGGGTTCAAGTTTGAGTTGCTGTGGACACTTGCTGCATTTCTGCTGATCAAAAACTATAAAAAATGTATGGGACCAAGGTAACAATAATAATGCAATGAAAAATGTTTCTTATCACATCTAGGTATGTTTATGAAACAGACAGGCCAGAATAGTCCAGAACATAGCCTAAACTAGCCTAACCTAACCTAACCTAACCTAACCTAACCCCCACCCTATCCCCTTCAACCCAGTGTCCCATTGGCATCCATGTCCCATGCCATATATATGTACCATGTCATGAAGTTTTGTTTGTTTAACCACCATATTCTCATTTTGCTTTCCATTCCCACACAAAAATTTAATATTCCCCACCATGTTGACCGATCTACAAACAATATGGACAACTGCTTGGATATGCAAGACACACATTTTATTGAATTCTTGTTACCTTGGCCTCATACATTTTTATGGTTCTTGATGCACAGTAATGTGATCACGCCAGTAATGTTGAGATCACACCTGGAAATGGCGCCGGGGTTGTGGTTGCTGCGTGTTTGCTCTCAGATGTTCGCTATCGTTATTTAAGTTCCAAGGTAAGAGCTTAGATGACCTGTTCTATGATTAATTATGATATGTTCTGCCTTAAAAATGATGATTGATGTATAATGCTCTTTCTTGACATGAGGTAGCAATGTATACCCTGACCCAAAAATGAAATAAAATAATAATATGTGTACATCTTGGCATCCTCACAAAGTTTGGCATGTGTATGAGTTATGTGGTACACATTAATGTAAACCTGCCATTATGTGTGCTGAGGCTGATTAAGCCTGCTTTAGCTTGTCTGTTAATGCCTCACTTAATTTTTTTCCAGCATTTGTAGACCATAAGCAGACAACCATGGGTGAGTTTGAGTCAGACTGTACTGCATTTACCTACATTTTGGCTGTGATGAAACTGGCATCAACTTTTATTATGCAGCGCTGATTTATATTGATATTAAGTGACTGGTTTTGAGGTGTCCAAGCTTGTAAAATGTGGCACAGCAAGTTTTGTAACTGATTCCCCATAAAATTGAAGTTTACACTATTTACATTGGTGCAAAGTTTATTTGTAACCTTGCATGCTGCATACACCTAATTTTTTGTGCCTTCTTTTTGTTATAAGATACCACTAGAAACAACAAGTGATTGTTTCACATTTGTTCCAGGTAACAGCTGTCGATCATGGATGCTGAGGATGCCCTATGCCACTCTTCTGGCCACCTTGCTCTGCGTCATTGGTGTGGGCATTTTCTGTGGATGCATATATAGGGTGTTCACACTCTGCCTCAGAATGTTTGATGAAGTCTTCCACTTCCATTTGGACTGGTAAGTGATATATATGACTGATGATTCAGTGTTTGCTGTAAGCATGATATGGGGTGGGGGGTCACTTCCCCCCTCCCCCCCCCGAATGTTTTTACAGGCTTACTTCCGAGCGGTGCGGCAAAGCTGAACCAGACTGCATGGCTGTAGACATCGGAGCTTCACATAGCTTCTTTACTGGAGAGCTTTCTGTAGGGGGGGGGGTCATGATGCTTATTTTGAATTTATTAATAACAGGGACCACATCAAACATCTTTCATACACTTCCTGAAGGGCAGTGTAGGTCACTGACCCAAAATGACCCAGATCATCACTGTTTTCAGGAGCATACCACCCAGCGTAATCTTTGATACATATTCAAATGCAAAAATCAAGACAGTCTCGTGGGGTTTTCGTAACCAGAGAATTTAAAGGTCAAAGTCACTGATTTTATATAAATATCAGCGACCTTTTGATTAGAAAAGATATCTAGGTTCAAGGCAACAGCATGAGTAGGTCTCAGAGCACTTTTAAACACCAATGTGGAGTTTGATCTTGTTTGAATTTATTTGTGCTGAAGATCATGACCTAGGAACCTCAAATTTTGACACAAGGGACTTCATATACAGGTCAACATATCTTGTTAATTTGGTATCCTTAGTTCCCCCACTTTTTGAGATCTCAGGAGGGGGCAAATTGATTCCCCACCACCGAACGGAGGATGTTAAACTGGCGACACGGGCGCGTGTTCAAGATATATGCCATAGCCAAATAAAAATCCTTTTATATATATATATATATATATATATATATATATATATATATATATATATATATATATGTATATATCGCTCACTCACTCACGCATTCACCCAGACATTCAGTCACCCGCCCACTCACTCACTCGTAGTGGTTAGCAATTTCAAGTTAGGTGGATAATATGGCCATTATTGACTGCTGGTTAAATTGACAGTGGGCCTACCATTTCAATCCAACGTCGTTTGAGATTTTGGCATGAAACCAAATCCGGCCTACTCTGTTTATCATACGGGCTTTTCCCACGCAGTCGTGCCAGCCTGCCGTTTAGCGGAGGAGGTGTGGCGACCGGAGACTTTCTGGAGAGATTAATGTGGCATGCTTCGATGTAGCTATCAGTCGTTTTCGCCGTCTCCTAAAGTCGCATTCAAAGGTCATGTGGCGTCAGTACCATTTATCTCGACATTTCCATCCGTTCAAAAATCCCGTTTTTAAAGTCATTACCTCAGAAGCGACCGCAACGGAGACACGCACCCCCGGCGGTAGCGTCCGGCATTGGGCGCTGAGACGCACACTCTCGGCGGTAGCGTCCGGCATTGGACGCTGAGACACGCACCCCCGGCGGTAGCGTCCGTCATTGGGCGCTGAGACACGCACCCTCGGCGGTAGCGTCCGGCATTGGGCGCTGAGACACGCACCCCCGGCGGTAGCATCCGGCATTGGACGCTGAGACGCACACCCCCGGCGGTAACGTCCGGCATTGGACGCTGGGCGGAGAACTGGGGGCGGCACAGAGAGCCGGGCTCAAGCCGAGACCAGTGGCGTTGCCGGAGGCCGGACGTCGAGACGGACGAGCGTGGTGGTGACAACGGGGCCATCGGTTCCTCGAGGGGCCAATGGGCAGACGCGCCGCGGGGAGGGCTCGATACCGGGGCGACCAATGCGGGGTCATGTGTCGCCGGGCATTGTCTGGTACGGACAATGCGGGGTCATGTGTCGCCGAGCGGTGTCTGATGCGGACATTTTGCCGCCGGAGATAGGGCCTTGGAATGGCTTCGAGTTTTTGGGTCTTCCGCGGCGAAATGGGGTAATGCGTGCGCGTCCGAGTGTAGAAATGTAGAAATGCCGGGCCCAATTGCCATGGCTGCGAACCTCGTCAGTAGGTCAAAATACAGTCTTCTGCGGTTACTCTATCGACGAGTTGAGCGTTCAATGTCAGCTGAGGAAGAGAATCATCGAGGATAAGCCCCGCCTCCGTCCTCCTTGTTCCGGGCGATGCGAAGCTATCCTTATGCTCGTCAGCATCGTGGCTGTGGTGACCTCAGCGGCTGACAGTGCGGCGCGGTGTGTTGTCGGCGGCGGCGCGTGTCGGGCGCAACCTCCGCCCCGAGCTCTCGACGAATGCCGGACTCGTCGCCGGCCGCGTATTCCGCACGGCTGCTCGTCCGGGACATCACGCGGCCGGTGGAGTGACGTCACCGCGGAACACGCGCGGTCGCTCACCTGTGACGTCACCTGTCCGCTAATGCGCGGTCACAGGAAGCACGCGGCGCCGCCGGAGGACTGATCAGTGCCAGCGGCCGCTGCCGGTGGCCCGTGTAGCGGAAGGAGCACGCGCCGGGGGCGTCGACTCCACGCAGGGTTCGGGTGGTCGGACGGGTCGACTGAACTCGGGGTGTAGGGGGGGGGGGGGGGGGGAGCGGACGGGTCGGCTCCGAGCTACAGAAGTATGCACGTCTGAATAGCCGTTGTTTGCGAGCAAGTGCTCGAGTACGACCGAGCTGGGACTACAATTCAGCCCCACTGTCCATTGAGTGTGATCTCAGCTGGCGGCGCGTCAGCTCAGTGGTGGGAGCAGTCTCAGCTGGCGGCGCGTAAGCTCAGTGGTTGGAGCAGTCTCAGCTAGCGGCGCGTCAGCTCAGTGGTTAGAGCAGTCTCAGCTGGCGACGCGTCAGCTCAGTGGTTAGAGCAGTCTCAGTTAGCGGCGCGTCAGCTCAGTGGTTAGAGCAGTCTCAGCTGGCGGCACGTCAGCTCAGTGATTGAAGCAGTCTCAGCTGGCGGCGCGTCAGCTCAGTGGTTGGAGCAGTCAATTGATCTCATCTGTTTCACGTTCATGAAAGGAAAGCCAGACTCACCAATACAAAGAAGTGTTAGACTCGGACTGGAAATGACGCCTGAAGTAATATGAATCGGATGCGGTCTGCAATGTTCGCAAAATATGGCGCTTAGCGCGAAGTTAGCTTGACGGGTTTGCAGCAATCCTCAGGTATAAGCCCCATTTCCTCACGACACGTGGGGAATGGCGCCACGGGTTATCGGACGTGAAGTCAGTGACCTTTGCCTCTTCTCAAAGAATTTGAGGTAGAAGAACTGCGATGATCATTAAAGTCCGCAGCGATATGACTTTGCTATTGATTAGATATACCTGTAGCGCACGGCAACGCTTCAAGCCGTTAGCAATATACCCATTTTGACGCGCCGCAGGTCAGCAAGGATAGGTAAAATCTTCCGATGACGACAATCCAATCGTCAGTCCTTGTAAGCAACGTTTCGATCTGATCTGATCTCATCCCCAATGATTGTAGCGGAGCTGACTGAACCCCATCCGCACATGTTTTACTGTCGTAAGCATTCCTAAGCCGAAGGGCTCTCCGCCGCAAAGCATGATGATACGATATTTAAAAGCTCGAATGGAATTTTCCACTTCTTAAGATATTGATACAAGCAAACTCTCAAACTTATTGGCTAGCTGAAGCTTATAAGCCCTCTTATAACTATTGACATACTTTAAGTTGGAAAGACTGCTCCAGACAGCGCGATTCCCCTGTTTAGTAAATATTCACCTCAATTAGTCATTGTCCGATTGCGTCATCGCATCTTGAGCAACGTCCAATTCCAGAGATCCAGTTCGCGGTCGCTTTATCTTGAAGTCGTGCGCATGAACGCCAGATATGAAGGACCCGACAATTATATTTGTATTTGCCTTGATCGCCGCATGGACAATGAAATGACAAGATTTGAATGACGTTATTATGGCGGCACAGATACCTGAGTGACCTTGAAGCAGCCTGCACGAAATAATCCACATCTTCGCGGCTATTTGGCACAGAAACAAGAGGGGTTTAGGGTCGTAAGAAGGGCAGGGCTGTGAACTGAACCAAATGATCTTTAAGATGACTATTTTGTCCGAAAATCCCATACAAATGTGGAACACTCGCTTTAAAGGAAATGTCCCCACATTTGGGGCATGTACCAAAAGCATGCTCTTGTGAAACCCCGGGACTAGTCACGTCTAGTAAGAGCGCTAGGTCGTGCCACTGCAACGTCAACTTTCATTATTTTTTAGTCTGAATTACGCTGTCGACGTCTTGCACCAGCACTATGCTTCTTCCCTGCGGTCGCGACAACCTTCGTCATAACAAAACACTACGCGCACCTCTACCGGTGCTCCCGTTCCCATTCCCACTCACAAGGCCAAAGCGCGCCTCGGAAAGAGCCACCGTGGTAAACGCCACAGCGGAGAAATCAAAACCATCGTATAGCGTCTCGCTGAATTCGCGCGATAAGAGCTTAATCTGCGGATTTTTTTTTTGCCTGAGTACAGTGTTTCAATCTGTCCCAGCATTTATTCCACAAACAGTTTGACATGAGGCTGTTGCAAACGTTGCAGAACACACGTTGGAAAACAGTGCAAATATATGTTACTTTCGTAGTGGTGAGCCAGGGTGTCAAATGAGATTTCTCCCGCGGGGTCGGCTACTTCAAATCGAAATTCTGAGCTAAGACCATAGTAATGGCCTTATTCCTCGGAGAAAAACAAGGAGAATGGAAATATAGTTGGGTTGGGTTTAACCCAACTATATCTCCATTCTCCTGGTTTTTCTTCGAGGAATAAAACTACTACTACCGTCTTATCTATGTGAATAATGCTCCCCGCTATTGCACTGAACAACTTACAAGATTCTCAGCTGTTGAGAAGGATTTTGGGAACAGTGGTATTACAGATCAAATCGTACGCGTCTGATGTAACAATAAGTGATAAGTACAAAACAGATGGGATGCTGCCTTTAAGCAGCCAACAATTGAGATGACATTTGTCACGAGAAGTTCAACATCTCCAACCGGTTGGGGCGAGGCTGGCTGGAGCCGGTGCAGTCTGACCTGCCGCCGTCTGCGCTGCAGGCTGGAGCCGGTGCAGTCTGACCTGCCGCCGCCTCCGCTGCAGGCTGGAGCCGGTGATGTCTGACCTGCCGCCGCCTCCGCTTGCAGGCTGGAGCCGGTGCAACTGGTGTGCATGATCATCGGCGTGGCGATGGCGGCGCTCGGCATCATGATGCTGCTGGTCGGCTGCCTCACCACCGGCTCCACGCGCACACGCGTGTTCCGCTCCCGGCCGGGCCGCGCGCGTGGCCGCACCTCCGTGGCCGTGGTCAGTGCCGGCGGCGGCCGAGCAGGGCGCCGCTGCCCATCTCGGGCTGAAGCAGGACTAGCTGGCGCATGCGAGTGGTCGGCGCGATGATCGATTTTTAGAGCGTCCTTGAAATCTGCCTGGTGTGGTTTTGGGTGAAGTTAAGTTGGGTGTCGTTTTAACCCGTAGACAGGGACACATTTTTGTTTTCACGGCAAACGAAATTCCTTGATTGCTGACGACCACGCAGATGTCGTGCACGGGTTGCGGTACATTGGTCAGGGAGCAGCGTCTCGTTATTGTGGTAGTTGGGCTATTAGATTGTGGGTAGCACTGTTGTGTCCCAAAACGGAAACGGCCGTTCGAGCATAATGCAGTGCTACGTTTCGTGACTGGCGTGTTTTTGTCTTATTTTATGCGTTGTATCTTGCCACGTTATCGCGGCATAACCAAGCCGCCTCTGTTTCTGAGTGGTCACGTTCGGCGTATCCGAGGCAACGTCGTAGCCGTGCACCAGCTGACCGACGGGCGTCATGTGTTTCAGTTTATGGCCATCGCCTACATCCTGCAGATGGCCTGGGTCTGCATGTTCGCCGTGCTGGTGGTTGGCTGTGTGCTGTTCGCCACGTTCTGGAACATGTGCCTCTCCGACCGGGTCCGCGTGCTGCAGGAGTGCATTGACTTCAGACAATTCGGTAATCGGGGGTCTGAACAAAACCCCTCCCCACTCCGATGACCCGGGAGGGGGGGGGGGGGGGGCAGAGATATCGGACAGGGGTGAATTTGGAGTGTAGGGAAAGGCGTGCTCATCGTCAAAACATGGATCTGGACGTTCGGGCTCTTGGAAAGGCACGGCATTTGTGATTGCTGCGGTAAGTTTGTGCATGGGCGCGCTTAATCGTATTGTGCGGGACGTGCTTCGCTTATGCTAAGGTGACCCGCGTGACGTCGCAGGCTGCTCATGATTGGCATGAGCATCATGAAAGTTTCCCCTCTGTGACTTCATGCCTTGGATCGACACCATTCCCGGTCAGTTGTCGCCTGACACCGAGGCACGGCCGCCGTCGTGACGCCGTTGCCTCCGTGGAAGATTGTGACGGGCGTGGCGCGTTGCAGCGTTCGTGTTCCCAAACAACACGCGCGAGGAGGACATGCAGGTGTGCGGCACTGGCGAGCAGAAGCTCTTCTGCAAGGACTACGTCGAGAACGTCCAGATCAACCTGCTGCTGTCGGCGGTCGGCTGCTTCCTCGTGCTACTCAGCCTGGTGAGCGCGGCCGGCGTGCGCTGGCGGGTCGCCGCTCGTCCCCACGCCGCCGAGTCAGGGCGGCGCCATCAACCGAACGCACTGCGTATGTCGCCATTGCCGCTAAACCAGTCGGCATCCGTCCTGCCGCATTTGTCAGACCTCCTCTGTCGCCAGGGGCTGTGAATAGTTGGAATGGTCGCTGGGGTGTTCAGGGCGCGCCTTCGTGACCGGCGATGTGCGCTCGTTCCAGATCAATTACCTGATGTGCCTGGCGGCGAATTACGCGCACATCAAGGACCAGGAGAAGTTCGTGGACCTGAGCGAGATGCAGTACCTGCAGGTGTCCGAGTCGGGCACGCTGGCCAAGGACCGCTTCTGAACGGTGTCCGGTGACCCGGGGTCAGGCGCGGGCAGAGGTCACCTATGACTTCACACCACTCCCGGAGCAGCTACTTACCGCAGGGCCATCGTGCTCGCGGCTGTTTGTACTGATTGTGAGACTCGCTTTTGCGTGTCGGCCGGTTCCTGTCGTCGATACATTCCGTCTGTTGTGACCTATCCCGTCCAGTGTTGGTGGCTTTCACGCGCGTCCGCGCGGTAGACAACACACGCTGCCGCGTTAGTCGTGTGTCCTGTAAACCGAGCTCAGGAGAGCCAGGAGGGAGGGGGGGGGGGGGGGGGGGGGAGGCCGTCGCCGGGCCGAGTGCCTCCCGCGGGACCTGGCCCTGTGCATTTTCTGTGGTGGTTGCCCGCCGTTGGGGCGATGTCTGCCAGGGAAGATGTCTGAATCAAACATCGAGACACGCGCACAGTTGAGTGGCCTTTGAGTGGCAGATGTTGCACCCATTCGCACGTCAGCTGGGGCGAGATTTTGTAGTCGATCAGCACGAATCGCATCGTTTTAGAATCCAATGTTTTGTTAATACTGGGGACGCTATTGTCTATTGCCGAGTGCTTTATGGGACTATGGGACAGATCGGACTAATAGCATAGGACGCTGTCGGTACATTGAGTAAAACTGGAAGATAGGTAGGTCTTGCCACATTTGCGCCTCGACAGCAATTGCTTATTACAGCTTACGTCTGTGAGCACCGTCAGATTGAATTTATAAACGCGTCGAAAAGCGACACGAGCCCAACATGGTGCCTGTGGACGACAGCAGCTGCACCAAGGTGCGGTCCATGGCGTCAACATGATGCAAAAATCCCGATGTCATTACAGCGTGCCGAAGAGTCGACCTCTTCTGAGCACGGTATATACCACGGTTTATATGAATGATATCGAACTAACGGTCTTATCAGTTTGTTTCTGGTGATGGGGGAAGGCACTGGACAAATATGACACGTCATCAGAGGTACTCTCATTATTTTTCGGAAGTCACGGTTGGTTTAAAGCCTTTCGAAATGCGCCTCACTATTGGTGCGATTTTGAGTCAAACATGGAGGAGCGCGCACAATTTAGTGGCATTGGTGCAGCATGTGTTGCACCCATTCACCCACAGCCCACGCTACATGACATTCAAATGACAGCGAGAAGAGTGGTTAGTGACCGTTCCATAACGCCGCAGACTTTCAGCGCCACAGAGCGTCACGCCGCGTGACGCCCTGGCACGGCCGTGTGGGCACCGATCCTAACGCTGGGGCGGCAAATGCTCCCGACCCGGGCCGCGTTACACGTCGCAGTGCTGGCTGCACCGCCCAGTTCGGTTCCGGGTCGGTCAGTTTCCGTGTACTCTGGCGCTGATTGATCGGGCTCGGCGTGTTTAGTCGGTCTTGCGGCTTCACATACCATCTTACACATGTTTTTGATATAATACATTTTACCCAGCACAATGTCTTTCCTGTCAGACATGCTAGTGGCAGCTGATCACCACCAGCAACAAATCACGGAAAGTGACTATCACGGAGGCGCGCGCATCCCAGCACGGACCTCGCGCAAAGATCCCAGCGCGCCGGCGTGCACTACCTCTTCTTCCACTCGTCCATCTTCTCCGGGTGAATGGTGAACTTGCCGTGTCGTCCGACGCCGTCGACGAACCGCTGCGCGCCTTGCCGAGCCTCCAGATCCAGCACGGGCAGGCCGTGCTCGTGCTCGAACTGCAGCGCCTCCTCCAGCGATCGCGCGTCGAAGGCGGCGTGGTAGGCCGAGCGGCGGTCGGCGGCCAGACACGCCGCCGGGAACTTGGCGACGGAGGTGGCCAGGTTGACGGCCTGGCCGAGCGCGGTGCCGCACGCCACCACACGGTTGGCCAGCCCCCACTGGAACGCCTCGGTGCCGGAGACGGCCCGGCCCGTCAGCAGCATGTCAAGCGCGCGAGACAGGCCGATCAGCGCCGGCAGCCGCACGCTGCCGCCGTCCAGCAGGGGCACGCCGAAGCGCCGGCAGAACACGCCCAGCACGGCCGTCTCCTCGACCACGCGCAGGTCACACCACAGCGCCAGCTCCAGGCCGCCGGCCACCGCGTACCCGTCCACGGCGGCCACCACTGGCTTCGAGCACAGCATGCGCGACGGCCCCATGGGCGCGGCGGGCGGCGGCGGGTCGCCCGGCGCGCGCGCCGCCACCTCAGCCAGGTCGTAGCCGGCGCAGAAGTTGCCGCCCTTGCCGTGCAGCACGGCCACTGGCGAGCTGTCGTCGGTCTCGAACCGGCGCAGCGCCGCCGCCAGCTGGGCGGCCGTGGCCGCGTTGACGCAGTTGCGCTTCTCCGGCCGGTTGATGGCGATCGTGGTGACGGCGCCGACGCGGCCGGTCAGCACCAGCGGCGGCTGCGCGCCGGCCGAGCTGCACGCCCGCGCAGGCCAGCGCAGCGGCCGGCCGGCCAGCGCGCACCGCGCAATCATCACCTGCGGCGGCGGGCACCACCAGTCAGCCACGCGCAGACGGGGCTGCTGGCGGGCAGACATGTGGTATCAATTAATGTTCCTCTTCTCTTACCTCACGCGCGGAAAGTCGACGCTCGGAGCGGGGCTTGGTACAGATGACTATGTAAGGGCTTCACGCTGGATCCCATTTGAACAGGCACCCATTTTCATCCTTTTGGACAGGCACACACAGAAAATGCTACCTAACATGACTCAGTTTGTTTTCGGTGCAAAGCAGGCAAATATAAATAAACGCACGCAAACGAAGCATATGCCGCAGATGAATATGCAAGCATGTACACAGGGGAAATACCGCCGAAAATCGTAAGGGAAACAAAAGAAGATAGCCATATGCAACAGCAGGCACTGGCCTTCTCGGTAAGTCGCGCCGATTTTTTCGTAGCCTGAGCCATCGTCGAAACAGTTCTGCCTAGGACCCACCAATTGCCCACCAGGCCTCGCCGCGACAAGAGGCGACTTGGCTGCCCAGCCTGTCACGGTTCTGAAGGGCGCAGCGTCGAAGTGTGGTCACTGTCGCGATGGCCGCAGGGCGACTTGACTGTCCAACAAAGCCCAAACTCCCCTGCCTGATGAAACTTTGTAACCTTGTTACAATTCTGGCCCTGGAAAATACCCAGAATTTCAAAGAGCATGTTCCCCACTAAAAAATGCACAGCTGACATTCAAAATAACAGGAAGTGGTTTCTGCCACTGTCTTTTTTCACAGAAACCTGCAATGAAATAATAAATGAACAGCATGCCACAATGATCTCCAGATAACTAATATGCAACTACCACATTCATTATCACCTCACTTGGCATGCATCCAACACAACTCTTGATTTTGGTTATCAATGCTATTGTATTGATTTCTATTGGCGACCTGTTCTAAGCAAGGGCCTCTTGATGCACAGAGGGACCTCCTCATCCAGAGAGTGATGTTTTTGTTCATGAAGGGGCTTCTACATCCAGTCAGGGGACCTTTTTATCCCAAAACAGGGCATCTTGATTCAGAACCATGACAATCTATGCATGAGGGGCCTCCTGTTCCAGATATGGGGCTTCCTGAATACAAAGGGTGCCTCTTAACCTAGAACAGGGGCTTCCTAGTTCATAAAAGGGGCCTTCTGAGCCAGCAAAAGGGTCTTATCCAAGGTCTCACATTGGGCCTACTTATCTAGAGCATGGGATACTGTGGCCTCATGATCCAGAAAATGGGTCTCTTGGTGCAAAAGGGGTCTTTTCAACCTGCTTTACCACCCCCTAGCTCAGTTATGGGACCTCGATTGATCTGAATTTTGATAATCTTTAAGTGGCTACAATGCCTTTTATGACCAAAATATACCATTATTTTCCTGCTGAGGTTTAAAACAGCATAGGCAGTTTAAGCTAATTATACCACATGGATATTTTCTGATTATGCTCATGTTAATCTTGCAGATATTCATATATATGGATGTGTGCGTGTACATATACGGGCTTAGGTTACAAAGTAACGGGAGCTCCAATCCATCGGGCGTGAGCAAAACCAAATGCACAAACCCCACCAAAACAGCATACGTAATGACCCCAGTTTCCAATTTTTCTGAAGATATGGTGTTACTTCAAACTGCCGACCTCGACGACTTCGCTGCCGAAATTACCTAGCGGCCGACCGATGCTGAATACAGTCCAATTACTTAGAAAGCCTATGTCGCCATTCGCCCAGCCAATTTTCTCCAATTTTTAACGAAATGTCGCAGCTGCGCAAGTACGGACGCCCGGGGTCGTCAACGATTGACAGCTAAATTGCACTCTGTGCTGAACATTCTGCAGTTCGCAGGTGACTATACATGCCTGTGAAGTGTGTCTGTAATAATTAGTATAAGCACGCGGTAAAACATCTCCGAAAATTTGTGTGTCACCTCACCTATCCAACGGCTGATTCATTGGAGGATATGAGCTATGGCGCAGGCAAAGGGGAAGGGAGTACGTGCCTCCCTTGGTTCCGTTCGGCGCTTCAGGACCGATGATTAGGAGGATAATTTCATGTCCGGAAGGGACCGAAAAACTGACTGGAGGTCTGTTTAGAGATCACAATCCGCAGGAACGGGTATTAAGATGTGACAGTCAGGGTACCTTTGTCCCGATGTGAGGTTTCCTACATTGCCTCAACCCCTATAAGGGCGTATATGTTGGTCGCGCACCACTAGAGTCGCACCGTAAGTTTCATGTCCGTGTGGGTTTGGGAGCCGAGGCCAAAAAGACGCCAGGGCCAGCGATTTACATTGCTTGGGTCCCAGTGGGGCCGGGCCGGAGGGAAGGGCCCTCAAACGACAGTCAGAGGCTCCTATGGACCAATCGGGGGCCTCTGATTCGATATGGGTCTATAAGTCGGTCAGACACCTCCAGTGCCGCACAGTCGACACGCTGTCGGTATGGACCTGAGGGCCCACTTCCCAAGCAGCGACAAACCAAAGTCGGCGATTTACATTGGTCGGGCCCCTGTGTCTGCCAGGGCTCCACAGTGCCTAACAGGTGGTCCTTTGCTGGAAAGGTGCCCGAGTCGACTAAGGGCAGTGTTTGATGAGGTCCGGAGAGGGACCCGAAGGGCCCCTCGCGAGCAAATATCAGGGTTTAATTGGATGCTACAAAATCCCAAAGGGCTGGCTCTAGATCACCTAAAGGATCCTGGCTCGCAGGACCATGGCCTGCAACATCAGTCAGAGCGCCGCTTGCCCTGAATGAGGACACCCTGAGAAAATGTAAGCCTTTACGTCGGCCAGAGACTACCAACACCGACTAGTTGGCTCCGTGTCGGTCTGAACCGTCTAGACACAGTTCCCGAGCAGGAACGAGGCCGATACCCCGATTCGTATTGGTCTGGGTCCCTGAATCAAGGAATGAGGGAGCCGGCCAAGGGCCGTGTTTGAAGGGGACCCGAAGGGGGGCATGAAGGGCTTCTCGAGACCAAAGATCAGGGGCCCGATTGGAAAGTTGGATGGCTCAAACAGCTTGCTGTAGGCCTTATTAAGAGTCCTTGTCGTTAGGGCCGTGATCTCAGACATTAGTTAAAGGACCTCTTGCGTCTATTGGGGGACCCGTGGAATAGTGCGATTTTCTTTGTCGGCCAGAGATGACCAACACCGAACAATCGACCCCGTGACCTCTACGGGCCCTACAAAAATGTGGGCCCCGGCGTCGGTGTCGGTCAGGAGCCCACCGTACCTAATAGGGTGTCCAATATCAAAAAGGGGCCCCGAGTCGGTCAGGGGAACATTTGCTAAACAGGGCCGGGACTGGACCCCGCATACCAGGGGGTCTCTTGCGTTGGTCGGGGCCCTCTGACGATGAAACGAAACATGAAAACTTATGCTGAGGGTCCACACTGAGAAGTGAGGCAGTGAAAGGGTTCTGTGTCGGTCAAGGCCCTCGGCGCCGGATGGTGGACCCTCCACCTGACTGCAGCCAGGAATGTTCCACAGTGGAAGATATTGAAGCAAACATCAATAAGCATGAAGAATCGATGCTTTTGGATATCAATTACACAAATGCGACAAATTACGCCTCTAGAGTGAATGCTGCCGCTGGCCAGAGCTTAAGGTCGAGCCTGGTCAGTGCCTTTTGATGGCCACAGCATGTCAGTGGAGCGCGACAGAAGGTCACGGTTACAAAAAGACACTATGAAGACTACAGGAAGATTACATTGCGACGCTTTTCCGCAATATTTCAAGATCTTTCACATTTCGGTTAAATATTCATAGATTTAAACCGTCTTAGGTCACTGACCTGACGTGATCTGGACAAGGGCCGTGAGCGAGATTTTACAAGGGGAGGGCTGGGAATACGACTAAACATATCTAAAATCCTAGTTTGGCGCATTTTTCATCAGTGAGGAAATAAATTCGTGCCTTCATTCCTGCGCCGGTTTATATTCTCGACTTGCAGATGACTGCTAATGATGTGCCGGTCCCCAGTGACTGTTTATGATGTGCCGGTCCCCGGTGACTGTTCATGATGTGCCGGTCCCCAGCACGCGACTGTCGTGCGCTGTCAGTGACGAGCCGTCTGGTCCCAGTCGCCGTGTGTGCCGGGCGTATCTCGGCTCGCACGCCACCCTGACCCTCCCACCCCCAGCGCCGCACGGTGCACACCCGAGGGTGACCGCCTGTCGGCACAGACGCCGGGCTCGCCTTGCCTCCGGCCGCCGGGGAAGCAGTACTGGTCGTAATGGCAGAGCCACTCGGAGGCACCGCCTCCTGGTGGCGGCCTCAGCGCCGAGCTGCGCCAGCTGCCCGCCTTTCACGACACGCTGACCGTCGACGACGACTGGACCACGCTCATCGCCATCGGCGACGCTGGCGTGCTCTACATGCTGCAGGTCATGTGACCGCGCTGGCGGCCTGGCGAGCGTAGAAACTAGCGGCCGGCGGAGGTAGCTGTAGTGCGCATGGCGCTTGGTAGGTGGCGGTGGTGGACTGCGCTCGCGCGTCAGGCCGATGCGGGTCCACACGTGACGCCGCCGCTCTGGTAATCTCAAATCAACTACAGGCATTTGGCGGACTGACGCTGGTGGTCGCAACACCGCTAACAATGTACAAGTCAGCAGTTCACCTTCTGCCGGCAAATTTGCCCTTTGAATATCTCAGGAACCAAGCTTATTTATCTGACCTCTTGGTACAGAACCACTATCAACAACGAGGCATTCGGAATGCTGTCTCCCGTAGATCAGTGTCTCTAACCCCGGTGTCATAACTGAGCTGGGCGTTCCGCGGCGAGGCTAACGTGTTACGCGGTCCCCGCTGTCCAGCGTTGCCATGGAGATTCTCCGCGATGTCTGTCTGCCAGTCGCGCGTACCTTTCGCGCCGCCGGGCCGTCCCGCGGGGCTGCGACCCCGCCGGCGCTGGGCCAGGCCGATCGCGGCGCGGCGCGGCGCTCGGCCGGAGGAGGGCGCGCCGGCGGGGCTATGACCAGTGTGTGTCGCGATCGGATGGGCGGGCCAGCTCAAGCGTGAGGTGATGAGGTCCGCCCCTCTACAGGTCACGGGAGCGCACAGGCGAAGCAGTCTTTCCCCATGCGTGCCTTTTGCGACTGGCTGGTCGGTGGGGACCGTGGCGCCACGCGAACATGCGAGTAACCATGATAACCATGCTACCAGGGAGTAACCATGATGTTGTAAGCTCGGGAGGGCAATGGACCTGCTAATAGCGGCGTTCTTCAACAGTAAGCTCGTGGCAGTGAACCCCTGTGCACACTGATGCGTTTCTCTCTGTTTTTTTGCGGCATATTCTGTACCGAAGGCGTCGCATGGACTCTTTACTGGATTCCTTTCCACGCACGGCGTTGAGTCCTTGCCCTTAATGTAATGTTAGCAGCAGTAAGGGACGGTACCCCTATCTAACAGCTCACATAGCTTAGCCCACCTAACTTCTGACAGGCCGATGTCGAGATTGCCGTCCTCTGTGGCAGTCTAGCTGCAGCCCTCCAAGTCATGCACACCGGGATCAGCTGCAGACTGGTTTGCTCTCTGTGGCCTCAAAAATAGCATGACGTCATACAGTTCGGGCCAAAGCCATGCTTCAAGCGCCGACCTGCGACAGCCCGCCCGCCCGCAGAAAACGGAACTGAGACGCAGCAGTGTGAGTCGGGCTAATGTTGCCTCCGGCTTCGACTGTCCGAACTGACGCTCGAGGGAAGAATCCCAACCGGCCGTTGAGGCGCCGGGCTATTCCACGTATGCTGTGGGGAGGCGGGGGTGGGGGGCTTCGAGGGCATCGCCCGGAGGTGGCCCGTGTTCAATTCCAGAAGCAGATAGCTGGTTATGCGTGTTAACAAGTCAAGCTTAGGCGAGTGGCAATCCTCTCATCGTGACAGTAGAAGGGAGGAGGTTAGTCTGCCGCATCCACATAGGTCACACATCACATGGTGTTCTCCTCTCAGCAGGGCAAGCGCCGGCATGTCCGCGCTGTGATCACACACTGTCCGTCGGTCATGTCCTCGTGCGGTGCCCACACTTTGCCACAGCGCTATCGTCACTGTAGCCGTCATATGCAACGTAGAGTTTCCTTGCGTTCGCTCATAGGCGAGGACCCCACTACCGAAGTGAGAGCCGTATTTTTACCTCTTAACGGCACTGACTTCACGATCATTCAGTCATCTTTACGGCATCTCCTGACGTTGCACGGCTCTGGCTGAGAGTGCTCTGGCGTGCTGAGCTCACGCGCACTGTGTAGGAGTTGCTTTGCACTCTGCGTGATGCGGTCGTTCATTTTGCACAGCTTGCGCTTGTTGAACATGCGTCGGAAACCTACAACAGCAGCCTGATATGATATAACACGGAATAGTTCTGCACAGCCATAGTTTGAGCGCAACTGACCGCGGCTGTCGACGCGCCCCTGAGCTCAAATAACAATAACCTGCTTCCCGTCCCATGGCCGTGAGCCAGGTCAAACCATATGCTTCCTGTCTTTTCCGCCGGGAGGTGTTGACGGTGCTCCTGTCGCAGCTCCCGCTCCCGCCGGGAGGTGTTGACGGAGCTTCTATTCCAGCTCCCGCTCCCGCCGGGAGGTGTTGACGGTCCTCCTGTCGCAGCTCCCGCTCCCTCCGGGAGGTGTTGACGGAGCTCCTATTGCAGCTCCCGCTCCCGCCGGGAGGTGTTGGCGGGGCTCCTGTCGCAGCTCCCGCTCCCTCCGGGAGGTGTTGACGGAGCTCCTATTGCAGCTCCCGCTCCCGCCGGGAGGTGTTGACGGGGCTCCTGTCGCAGCTCCCGCTCCCGCCGGGAGGTGTTGACGGGGCTTCTATTGCAGCTCCCGCTCCCGCCGAAAGCGTCACTTTGCAATGAGGGTCACGACGACGACAACGTCCCGTGGCGCCACGTCAGCGCTGAGCGTGCTGACGACGTCCCATAGTGTCTCGTGATCGCTGAGCGTGCTGACGACGTCCCGTGGCCCCTCTTCATCGCTGAGCGGAAATGGACGTCGCTGGACAATCCGGCTTGTAAACAGCGTTTGACGAGACTAGGCGCTAGTTGAGTAGGTTAACAAAAGGCGGAGCTGCCTGTGGAGCTTGTGACGTGCTCATCTCTACACATTCGCCTGTGCTGTATGAGCCGACGGAGCCGACGGCGCCTGTCGTTGCAGTCAACGCCGGGTCGTAATCTGCCGGTTACGACCGGCCCGGGCAGTATCGGCTGACCGCGCTGCAGTTGGCAGCCAGCCGGGTAAACCCTACCCCGGATGTTTGGTGCCACCGGTCCAGACGTTCCCCGCCCGGGGGTCGCTGCAGCATACCTGACGGAGAAAGAAGTGCGCGGACGCGGGCCACACTGCGCAGCGGCAAGTACTAATGGTCGGCAAAGTTCCTGCGCTGCTGCCGACATCCAGACCGCTGTCGTTTCTTCGCGCGGGGAAGCCACTTAGCCCTTGTCTAAACGAGTCGTTTTTCGGACGGACGGCGGGACGATTGTTTGGTTCGGCCACTCTGGCAGTGTTGGCAGGTGAACAATGTCGGGTCGGAAGTTTGCACCGGCTGAGCTAGAAGCTCTGCTTATTTGGTCCCGACACCGAAAACTTCGCCGCCGATCCCTTTGTTGATGGCATGCCATCAGCGTGAGGGACATGTTTTTCGGTGTTTGTTTCTGTTAGCTCTGTGCTCGGTTAGCACATGGCTTCGTCGCGTAGTTTCTGCTCGTAACCGTCTTCAGCTGGTGTATTCGAATGTAACAGAGCTGTGACCCACCGACCCCCGGGCGTCCGGCTCCAGCGCGGCCAGGCTAGGCAAGTTTTTCGAGGTCAGGCAAGTGGTACACGTGCAGGGAACGGGTCACGGCAGTACAGCGCGACCTGCAGCTGCAAGGATGTGCTAGCAGTACCACTAACAGACGCACCAGCTTTGGCATCAGGTCGCAAGGCTACGTCCGGCATTTCGCAGCGAGACTGTCCTAGAGAGGGTGTGACCCGACGACTGTGTGACACACGCAGAAACTCGGCCATCAGAACGCCACCGGGTAGTGGAACACAAGCCAACTCGTCGACAACTGCAAGGGGCATTCAAGGACAAGTTCAGCAGTCATCAAATGAAGTCCTTCTGGGTTGTACACTCTGTGTCAACGACGCTGTCTTTTTACTAATTCAGTACTACACAACATTTGCTCATATATCATTCTAGTCGCTGTAAGTTAAAAGCATATCAGAAACATCGACATCGTACAGCCTTTTGTCTCTGTCAGATGAGCTGTTTAACTTCGGCGTTCCCCAATCCAAACTGGCAGTGGTCAGTAGACGTAGTTTGTCGAAATACCCGTAAATCTACATAATCCTTCTTTTGCCACAGCCTTACCAGCTACCATGAGAAACAGAGCAAAGTGACGTGCGTTTAAGCTGCGGTGTATGTTTGAGGCAAGCTGGGCTTTTAACGCCAGCGAGACTTGTTTTTCTTTTCTTTTTTGTTTTTGAAAAAACTTTTGTTTTTCTATCCGGCGTATCCCATGCACGCAATCGATGCGTCCACGCTAACAAAACCAGGAGGCCCGGTGAAAGCGGAAGTGACACCTGTCTGTCCTCGCGCCACGTCAAGTCCTGTAGCTCACTACCCGCAATTACCTGGACTTACGTGACAGCCGTTGGCTGTGAGCTGCTTCAGAAACATCCCGTAGTTTAGTGTGAGCTAGTACGAATATTTCGGGATAAGACAAAGTTATCTGAACATTTTATGAACGCGTTCAGCTGCTTGGGTCACTTGTGCCCGCACGCTCTGCTGAAGGCGGCGACAGGGTACGCTGTCGCACCGGGCGGAATTTGAACCGGCGTCACACAGTCACAAGTCTGGTGCTTGACGAAACTCAAACTCCGGGCCTACAGCTTGTTCCCTGACAAGGATACGGGCAGGTCTACGGTACTGCGGAATCGACAGGACAGTATTGCTTGTTGTAAATGAGCGACTGGACCTGACATGAGCTACGGCTAGAAAATCTCCCTTTGCGACCTGTATCACCGGGATTTTACGGCTGCACTCAGTTGCTGAGGCTGTATGGCGTCGCCTGCCTTCCATCCTCGCAGGGAAGGACGTACACCGTGGGGAGTCAGCCCCGTGCCTCTGGTTTGCCACATGCTCAGCTGACACCATTAACACCGCCCGCTATACTACCGGCATTCTTACCGGCACTTATTTTCCTCTCTTACTTTTGCGATTTAGGGCGGGCAATAAAGAACGGCAGTTGCCATCATGTAGCTGATACCGAAACTTAACCGAACGGATCTGATCAAGCTGAAGGCTTCCATAACGTGTTGCAGCGCCTCTCCCATACATTAAGTGGAAACAGTTTAACCTGCGTAAAGCGTTGTTGTGCTCAAGCATAGACTCTGCACTGCTTAAAAATTCCTTGCGATGTGCCGACTGAGGCTGGTGACATAAGTCAACAAAAAGGACCGAATGATTCACGTTTTCAGTGACCATGAAAAAGCATTGCTGCAAAGTCCTCATGGCGCAGTCTTTCTCAGTCTAAATCGCAACTTGTAATACTCTAGAGCAGTCATCCGTCTTTACTATACCACACAGGCTACTTTATGTCCTCTGCCAGGTATGTGCTCATTTTTGTCTCCCGGCACTAAATGTGACACCAATTCTTACACGTTCAAAATCGGCAATTAGCCCCTGCGCTCGTGTGCGCCGACCGGCTGCGCTCATCGACCAAGATCTCTGTTATCACGACTGGTCCTCTTCTCTCCCGTCAAACTACTGCTAGTCTCGTGCCATTTTGATCCCAGGTTGCCTAGCTCAAGACCTGATTTCGGCCTTCGCACTATAGTGTTCTTTTTGCAGTGTCGATGATGGTGATTGGGGGTTTTGGGTGCGCTGACTTCTGAGATCACTTTGCACCCACTTTTTGCAACGTCATTGCATCATTGTTGCTCATTCGTCTCGATGATCGAAGTAAGTTAATTACATTTTCGTCATTTGGCAACGTCGCTTGAGAACCACGCCTAATCAATTTACTTGTAGGTAAGATTTTGAAAGCATGACGGAGGTTTAAAAAGATGCGCTTCTTGTTCCTGCTAGCTTGATGGCGGTACCAACAATGGATGTAAAGGTATACGCCCGTCGAAAAGCGTATATGGCTCTACCCGGCCTCCGATCCTACATTTTCGGTTAGTTGACAATGAGACAAGCTCTGCCTGAGACTTCACTCGCGATGCATGTTAACCACGTGTTCGTGCACAGAGCGTGGCGCCGCTGCCTCTGACGAGCGTCCGGTCGCCGTTCCCAGCGCGGCGCGCCGGCGCCGGCGCGGTCCGGGCCGGCGGCCTCGCCGTCTCGGCGCGCCCGCCGCCGCCACCGCCGCCGTCGTCCCGACAACGGCCAGTCGAAGCCGGAGCGGCGGCGCGTCGCCCCGTGCCGCGCCCTCTGCAGTCATTCAGCCGTACAACCTCCGCGCCGATCTGATCCGCAGCGGCGGCAGCGACGGCCGCCCAGCCATGGCCGGCGACAGGGCCTCGGCGCCCGCCCAGGGCTCCGGCAAGCAGGGCGGTGGAAAGGCCGGCGAGCAAGGCAGTCAGGGCTCCGGCAAGCAGGGCAGTGGAAAGCCGGCGAGCAAGGCAGTCAGAGCTCCAGCAAGCAGAGCAGTGGAAAGCCCAGCGAGCAAGGCAGTCAGAGCTCCGGCAAGCAGGGCAGTGGAAAGCCCGGCGAGCAGGGCGGTCAGAGCTCCGGGAAACCCTCTGGCAAGTCCGTGGATCAAACGAGCCAGAGCTCTGCGAAGCCCGCTAACAAGCCTGGAGAGCAGCCCAGCCAGAGCTCGTCAAAGTCCGCGGCGAAACCTGGCGACCAGTCCAGCCAGGGTTCGTCAAAGCCGGCCGGCAAGCCCGGTGAGCCGTCGCCGAAGCCGTCCGACAAGTCGGCGGCGCCGTCCGCCGACCAGAAGCGGCTGTCGGACAAGCCGAACGGCTCCGAAAGCCCGCAGCGCAGCCCACGCAACGCCAAGCGCAGTCCGCCGCACGCCGTCTCCCTCGACACGGCCGGCGACGAGCGCAAGGCGGCCAGGAAGGCGCGCAAAGTCAGCGCCGTGAAGGGCGCGTCGGCCGATGTCGAGCCGGCCGGGTCAGCCGCTGCCGGCGGTGCTGACCCGGCCGGCGGGCCGTCGCCCGAGGGCGACGAGAAGGAAGACCAGGCAGGCCAGCGCGTACGCGCTCTGGCCCGCCGCACGCTCGCGCTCTGCCAGCGCTCCGACTGGGTGGCCGTCGAGCAGAGCCTGAAGAGCGTGGAGCGAGCCGGCCAGGAGGCCGGCGTGGCCGAGCCGCTGCAGGACGTTGTCGATGAGGTGAGTCGGCGAGCGGCGGGAGGGGCGGGAGTGGGGGCTGATGGGACCCGTCAGCACCGCCGATGCCCCCAGCCTAGCGATACGGCGTCGAGGCTTGGATGGACGCTGGTTGAAGTGTAATCGCTACTGGCTGGAAGCAGGATATCGGACAGGAGGCGGCAGGAAAGGCGGCCGGTCTGTGGGGCTTGGCTGTGATTTGCGCGCGCGGGCAGGGCTTGCCCACCTCGTCAAACACCAGTCGGTCGGCCGAGCTGCCGCCGGCTGGCCATGTACTTGACGCGCCGCCCTTTCATTACCCTTTCGTAGTCAGTCAAACCCATTATTTTTCCCTCCCAGCACCTGTCAGAAGCGAATCTGGCATCGCGCCTGAATCTCTCGCTTGCTCACATTAGGCTCATGTCGTCATTACCAGGGTGCTGTATTTGTTCCACAGCCCTTCAATCCCCGGCGGCGAACGGGCTGTATTTGTTGTTTTGTTTTTTTTACACACGAATTTGCGTGCCACCACACCGCTGAAATTGAGGGGACAAATCATGGTTGCGAAGGCAAACAGAAATATGGAGGAAGCAACCTGACCCGAAAATGGTATTTTTAAGTTGTGAAATCATGCGTTTTATGAAAAAGCGCCACTGGAGATGAAAATTAGGTGGGACACGCCACCCACCTATCCAATCCCCAAATGGGCACACCCAGGTACACAAACAGCGTCATTTGGAGGTGAGAATTAGGAGGGACATGCCACCCACCTATCCTATCCCCAGTTGGTCACACCCAGGTACACAAACAGCGTCATTTGGAGGTGAAAATTAGGAGGGACATGCCACCCACCTATCCTATCCCCAGTTTGTCACACCCAGGTACACAAACAGCGTCATTTGGAGGTGGAAATTAGGAGGGACATGCCACCCACCTATCCTATCCCAAGTTGGTCACACCCAGGTACACAAACTGCGTCATTTGGAGGTGAAAATTAGGAGGGACATGCCACCCATCTATCCTATCCCAAGTTGGTCACACCCAGGTACACAAACTGCGTCATTTGGAGGTGAAAATTTGGAGGGACATGCCACCCACCTATCCTATCCCAAGTTGGTCACGCCCAGGTACACAAACTGCGTCATTTGGAGGTGAAAATTAGGAGGGACATGCCCCCCCACCTATCTTATCCGCAGTTGGTCACACCCAGGTACACAAACTGCGTCATTTGGAGGTGAAAATTAGGAGGGACATGCCCCCCACCTATCTTATCCGCAGTTTGTCACACCCAGGCACACAAACAGCGTCATTTGGAGGTGGAAATTAGGAGGGACATGCCACCCACCTATCCTATCCCAAGTTGGTCACACCCAGGTACACAAACTGCGTCATTTGGAGGTGAAAATTAGGAGCGACATGCCACCCATCTATCCTATCCCAAGTTGGTCACACCCAGGTACACAAACTGCGTCATTTGGAGGTGAAAATTAGGAGGGACATGCCACCCACCTATCCTATCCCAAGTTGGTCACGCCCAGGTACACAAACTGCGTCATTTGGAGGTGAAAATTAGGAGGGACATGCCCCCCACCTATCTTATCCGCAGTTGGTCACACCCAGGTACACGAACAGCGTCATTTTCAGAGTACGATATAACACTGGAATGTCATATGCCATACCGAGGTATTACAATCGTAGACATCGTACCGCCGTAAATAGATTGTTCCGGTGAACAAGAAATCTGCAAGATAATGAGACTGTTAAACAATTATCAGCTGGTGGTGTGTTTGGGCAACTTGCAACGCCCATGTGCCGTTTAGCTTTGCTTGCAATTTGCATATATCAGCTCCCTTCAGTTCGATCCGTTACTAACATACGTCGCGAACTGAACGCAAAGTCGGGCTGAGATGTCAAGTGTGTAGTATCAAACTGAAGATACTAAGGCAAGGTATGAGTGGAAAAATATTCTCAGGAATTCATGGGAACTATCTTGAGGAACCCTGCAGAGGTGTACTCCAACAACGCTCATCATTGCAAGCAAATGCATCCAAAGACTTTGGTTCGAACGCTTTTGTGGGCTACAACGGCTGGTTGTGATCAATAATAACAGCTTATGATGTATGAGAGCGTACCTTGTTCCACGCTTCACATACAATTGGTATATATATATATATATATATATATATATATATATATATATATATATATATATATAAATACTGTAAACAAATTGGGCAGCTTCACACATTTGTGCGCACTGTGACTGAGACCGCGTGGGGCCGAGACTACTGCGTTTCTGGCGGATTGTTTATCATCAACGCGACTGTGAGTCGTAAGCCTGTCAGACGTATTCGGCATCACCTAATGATTTTACCAATTATATAATCGTCTGTTTTCCCCGTCTCACCAAGGCCCTCCAAGCCCGGTGCGGCGGCCGTTGGCGCAACTATAATGATTGGCGGCGGTATTGGTTTAGCGTCGGCCGCGGACGCCTCCAATCCTCTTTGCCGGCTGATGCTGTTTGCTGGCGTGTCCACACAGGCGCGTGCCGACTTAACCGGCAAGTCCGCCGACGGCCGCCAACGTGCAGGCCGCGCCGCCGCGTCTGTTTGGCTATTTTACTAGCCGTGTTGGGCCGTTTCATGACGCGGCGTCATTAGTGGCGCAACGACTCGCGTCCGGTGCCGCTAGCGGGGGCAAGCGGACGCCAAGCGCGTCCGGACTGGGCTCACCGTGCCTCCGATGGCCTCTCAAGCCACTCAGCGACGCCCACCTCGCATGGGGAGAGCCATGACTCGAGGTGCGCGCCGGCGGTATCGCGCTCTCTCCGACACTGTTTTCGCACGCGTTGAGAGTCCTTGAGACGGTGCGCGTCATTTTGTCGCTGCGGAATTATCTCCCGCTGAAGCATGCTCACCGAGGGTCCTTGTAAGTGGATGAGCGAGCTCAGCTGTAGCTCCTCACATCAAACGAGTTCGCAAACCTCTAGACGCTGAGTTATGAATTAATCCCGCGCCGGCGGCACGCGGGCGGCGAGTGCGAGTGTGTGAGTGGTATGGACTTAATCACGCGATCGCAAAGCATTCCATGTCCACGCATTCGCGACGTTATGGAACGGCGCTTAAGTGGCTTTTCTATCGCGGCCAGTGCTGTAGTGCCGGCCTAACCAAATGTCAATTTGAATTGCGTTGTGAAATCGAAAGAAAAGGATGAGCCGGGAGGAGCACAATTCATAGCATTACCTTTGAACTAGAATTAGATCCTTCTACCGAGAATTCCACATGCTAATGTGTGTCCCACATTCAGCTACCAACGGGCCAATACGAGGTCAGCCTGGCAACGTCTGCCGTGTCTGTACATGTATGCGACACGCGAAGGTCATTCGGGGAGCTACAATGGTCAGCCGCTCCCGTAAGCCAGGCTGTCAGATAATGAATTGTCCGATTAACCGGGACCACGTTTTAGATGAAGAGCTTGAGCGAAGGCGCAGAACAGTTAGGAGCTGTTATATGCCACAAGCTATCATTCGAAGCCAGTCGGGGCCATTTACTTTGAAATTCAGACAATGTCAGCGGCTCTGGTTCAATTTGAGATTTGTCGGATGCCGCGAACTGTCACCAAGCATTATTGTCCAGTGCGAATGTTACGTTCGGTGGGTGCTATCAGTAGTTACTTCAATATGGCTGTAAGTGATTACAAAAAAAAAACATTTCCAATGTACTGAAGGGTGATCATTTTTTTGGTGGTGCATATCACTTTGCTACTTTGTTAGAAGACCGCCATTTACGGGCTACGTATATTGTGTTGTTTGTCTGTGCGGGATGCTGGAACATTTGGAGCACATTTTGACCTCCCGATATGCTTTTCCCAAAGAAATCATGGTCGCCCTGTTTTCGCAATACATTTTGAATGCTACGGCTGCTTCGGTTTAACAAAAAAATCCCCACCGCAAATCATTTTGTCATCTTTTAACTCCAACAGTTAGAGGATCAATGTCTACAGATTTGCTTTCACCCGTTGTGTGACTGGGCCGATTTATCATTTTTCCAGTTTTGTGAACTAAAATTGTGCACGAATGCCTTTTACTGGACGTGGGCCACATGCTACTCTTCGTTCTAGCTCTGATTTGTCAAAATCAATGCGCTTTTGGCAACGGTAATATTGAAGCTGGCTACAATGTATGCTTCAACTTAATCACGCAATGGGAACGTACAAGCTCAAACTTCTAAATAGTTACAAACAGTCCGTGGTCCTTTGTTGTCATTGATGACCGCAACGATTGCACTGTCTTGAGGAAAATTCACTAACAAGGGCTGTCCGAACGTTTCGTTTCATGTGACAGGCACGCTAAAAAATAAATCGGGCCTATCTAAAATGATTGGAATGTGCAGACCGTTTTCCGAAGCATTCACTCAGAGAACCAATGAATGTTTACATAAAAAGGCTTGCATTGATTCAGAGTAATCGATAAATGTTTCTATGAAGATTTACCAGCGTTATACTCAGCGAATACTTGCATCCGTGCGAGCGGATCGTCTGGGAGTTGGGAGTCCAAATAGAGTTTCATCCCATTTATCTCCATGCAGCACCTTAATCACTTTGACATCACTGGCTTGCATGTCGCTACTGCGCCATAAACCGATGTGCCTCGCGTCTTCCCAGAGCCGGTGCCAGCTACGTTCCCTCTTGTTCATGTGTGTCCCGTGTTTTCATGTGTTGTTTGTGCCCATGCCCCCATTCCCGAGGCCGCAATATGCAGCCCTGAACACTGTCATCACTGTCGCGTGGTACAAAGATGCGCTCCCGCGACTGCCAGCTCGCCGACACGAGGCCAGTATTTCGTCCAATAAACTCGCTCATGTCCGTGGGCACGGGATGCATAATCGTGTCATGAACCGCTGATGCTGGAATTCGGCTGTCCGGCTTGCACGGCGATGGCATTCGTCCTTTTTTACATCGTTTTTGCTCCCACGCAATGTCGTAACTTGCCCACCAATCATCTTTCCCTTCAAAGCCACGCTCTT